AACTTCCATTTGCAAATGCTACACTATAATGCTATAGTATCAAGCTATTCCTCTTTTGACTCAACTTTAGCCTCTTCTGTAGCATCTCTAGTAGGATTTTCCACTTCTTGCTTCATTTATTTAAAGGTTTCAACATCATTAGTATAGTTCTTTTTTGCTATATCACTAGGTTCATACATGCTTCCATCAATAAATGAACATTCATACAATGTTCCCAATGGTGCAATTTAACTAATCTTACATAAGTTGCATTGGATTTACTAAAAAAATCCCTACATATGCAATTAGAGTTAGAAACTCTGACAAAAGTTGGATAAGAATTGTTGAGACAATTCTTAAATTTGGAGCCAAACTCCAAGCCTAATTGGTATATACTTAATATCCCCTATAAGCACAAACTCCCCATATCTAGCTCTTGCATGCAAAACAATGTCACATGGAGTCTGGCATAATTTCTAGAAACTACTGGCCTATCATGAGGAGGTACCCCACCGACAAAAGAACCATGGAATTTGGGCTTAGACCTAAGCTAGATGTAAAACAACCCAATAAAAGATAAATTAATGTCTTAAATGGTTGGCTATACTTCCAACTACTATCCTTATTATACACTTAGAACCCCTTATAACCCATTTGGTATGATCGGTGAGAAAGGATTGCACACATGCAATCTTCACATGATCATTCATGTTTTCTGCTATAAAATATTTTTCTATATTGTAGACCCAGTCTTCTAAAACTTGATAATCCCACATGCCTCTACAATTAGGTGGTTGCAAGGGCTTGAACTTTGAAATTCGTGCAACTAGAGGCAATTGTAGAACTTCATTGTCCTCAAAACTTAAAAAGGAGTTTAATTGCTAAAGTTTAGCTAGTTTAGCTGCTTTAGCTTCTCCTTTTTCTTGTTTTCCCTCTTTAATTTGCAAATGCTACACTCTAATGTTGTAGTATCAAGCTATTCCTCTTTTGACTCAACTTTAGCCTCTTCTGTAACATCTCTAGTAGGATTTTCTACTTCTTGATTCACTCATTTAGAGGTTTCAACATCATCAATATAGTTCTTTTTTGCCATGTCACTAAGTTCATACATGCTTCCATCAATAAATGAACATTCATACAATGTTCCCAATGGTGCAATTTAACTAATATTACATAAGTTGCTTTGGATTTACTAAAAAAATCCCTACGTATGCAATTAGAGTTAGAAACTCTAACAAAAGTTGGACAAGAATCATTGAGACAATTCTTAAATTTGGAGCTAAACTCCAAGCCCATTTGGTATATACTCAATATCCCCTATAAGCACAAACTCCCCATATCTAGCTCTTGCATGCAAACAACAATTTTTGGAAACTACTGGCCTATCATGAGGAGGTACCCCACCGATAAAAGAACCATAGAACTTGGGCTTAGACCTAAGTGTAAGCGACTAAATTTTCCATTCTACTTTAGTCACTTAACCACACCTCCGACCACTTGGAGGAGTCTCATTCACAACCTCCATAAGTCCAATCCAGGACTTGGGACTTGCTAGCCCCGAGAATGGCATCCATGCCACTCAACATTTGCACTTGGTCCAAGTGCTCCACATGTCCGATCCCATGACCGACACTCAAAGGTACCACCAACATGCCAGCCCATTACGCTAAGGCCATGCCCAATCACCTTTGCCACACTGGTAGTCCATTACCATTTGCATCACAGTCTTGGCTCTCCAAGACTAGGCAAACCATCTGTGAGTGGTCATCTGAGATCCACTCCTTAGCACCCTTAGGATGCCCACCGACAAGGGGAATAGCCTTCCCCAATATCCCTCTGTCAGTCCCCACTAAGTCCCTTTCTGCCCCTGGCCGTGTTTGCCAATACTGCCACTTGATCGAGACCCACAGGCCCGACCACTAAGTCCCACGGTCCTCTGGGACTTCCTCACCACACGACTGTGTCCTTGGTCACTACCCCAGAGGACTGCTCTTCTTCCTTTCCACAGTCTGGGCCTTTGGGGCAACATTTCGGAACACCGTGGCCTTACGCGAGCCACCTGGGTACTCTCCTCGCCTTCTGCCCTTAAGTGCTCTAGCCATGGGCTTAGAGCGAGGTTCCGTTGAGCCACGCCTGGTATCCAAGTAGGTAGTGCCACCCACACTTGGACTGGGAGCATCGGCCAGTCGATCTCCCGGGGGAACTAGAGCCGGCTCTTGAACACTTCACCAAGCTACCCCGCTTGTCGGTCCGTGTTCACTCTAGTCTTGGACTTCCCAGTGGGCAGCTCATCACCCAACACTGGGTCCGGCCTTCCTGGGCCAAACTGGCCTTTCCTGGCCAAACTGGCTCCACTGCAGTCCTCCCCCTACTATACTTTTGGAGCTCACCAAACCCCCCAGGGTCTGGGAGACGAACGCTTTGGGCTTTCACCCTCTCAAGCTTCGGACTCGGACTCGGACTCGGACTCGGCCTCGGGCTCGGTCTCGGTCTCGGTCCCGATCTCGGTCTCGGTCTCGGTCTCGGTCCCGGTCTCGGTCTCGACTTCGGACTCCATCTCGGACTCCATCTTGGACTCCATCTCGGACTCCATCTCGGACTCCATTTCGGGTCCATCTTGGGTCCACCTCGGACTCCATCTCGGACTCCATCTCGGCCTCCATCTCGGGTCCATCTCGGACTCCACTTCGGACTCCAACTCGGGTCCATCTCGGGTCCACCTCGGACTCCACTTCGGACTCCATCTCGGACTCCATCTCGGGTCCATCTCGGACTCCACTTCGGACTCCAACTCGGGTCCATCTCGGACTCCACTTCAGACTCCAACTCGGGTCCATCTCGGACTCCACTTCGGACTCCAACTCGAGTCCATCTCGGACACTCCCACGTGTCATGTGTTGGTCCCTTTGGGTCCCTTTTTGGAGCCTCGCCTTTTGCTCGCTTCGTGCTCGTTCCTCGAGCACTTCGTTGGGAGTTTCACTCCCGCTCTTGACTTTTCAAGTCGGAGCTTTTGGTCCAAACGTGTTACGCTCGTTTGGTTTTCGCTTCGGCCACTACCACGTGGCGCCCTTCCAGCTCCACTTTGGGGCCTAGGGATTTTGTGTCTCACACTAAGCTAGATATAGAACAACTCAATTAAAGATAAATTAATGTCTTAGATGGTTGGCATATACTTCCAACTACTATCCCTATTATACACTTGGAACCCCGTATAGCCCCCCCCCCCCCGAGGAACACATGGTTTATGCTTTCAAGCCAATCCTAGGAGAGTTTTTAGGACAAACTTTTAAACTTGCTAAATGTGGAATGATATTAGATTGCAAAATATGCCCTCAAGTATATTTAGACACTTACCATAAATAATATATAAAACCATAACAAGACTAACATATAAGGTATGTTTAGTGAATATAGTAAGATATTATGTAGTGGTATTAAAGGACTAGTCTTAATACATGAGGGTTCTTGTCACTAAAAAAGGAAACTCTTTATGTATCCTTAGTTAATAGCACATAAGAATTCCATTCTTATGTTCATCCGGTCTAAGTACACTTAAGATGTTCAATTAACTCCATTAACACAAGAGGGGTTAATAAAGGGATCCAATTGTACCAATCTCTGTTATTATGACAATAAAAAGAGAGTGTTTATAAAGATTTACTGACAAGTATCTTTTGATACTCGAAATCACATTTATGACATACATCAATAGTTTCATATAAATGGATGCCCCAAGGCAATACACTATAGAAAAATATTGTGCCAAGACCATAAATTTGACATGGTGTGGGAAACTTACTATCAATGCAGTAGAGCTCTATAGGTGACTCCACATTGAAACATATATAGGAATTGGCTCTAGTCACCTCCACAAAACATGCTCCAAACAAATACAGCCCAACACATCTTGACTAACTCAATAACCAACATCTCTTAGTTTACCATTTGCATAAGAAACCACCCACTTTATCATGTTCTTAGGCTATGAAAGAATATGCCAAAGAAGCACTTCAACATCCACAAGAGTCTTCATTGGGTACACTTCCTTTCTAGCCTATACTTTTAAGATAATGGTGCAATGTGCAGCAGTCCACACTAATAGATCTAATGAGATCCCTCATTTTGTAACCTTCTATTGATTTGGCATTTACCCATACAAAAGCCTCCTCATTCATTGACAAACTTCCCACTCATATAGCACTTGCCATGTGGGTCATCTATAAGACTGTGTCAAGCCGTTAGTGATCAATAGCACACAAAACAATCTCTTGCACTGCAAAATTGGTCCCCGTTCATGGAAAATAACTGGAGCATAAAATCATTGTCATAGTCCTCACTTACAAGACTGCATGCTGCTAATGATCATCAAAAGTGCCACTCACACCATTAAAAAGACACTGAAGTGAAGTACCCGGAAACCTAAACCCATCACTGTGTTAATGTTTAAAATGGCTATGGTGCATTACATTTTCCATGTAGCATTGTTTTTTTTTCATATGTGGCATGAAAAACATGACCATGCCAAAAAAAAATGGTTTCAAAACATGTTTGTAAGTTTTGAAAACTTTTAATGAAAATTATACATTCACATGTGTTTTTTAAGATTTAACTTGTGCCCACAGGTGTGTGCCGAGCCTGATTCCTCCCTGGTGAACCTACTGCCACCCAGATTCAGGCTAGGCCCACCGTTTTCCAGCACAAGAAAAATTCAGTAAAAAATAAAAATGATTCCTGCATATACAAAGCAAACACAAATCTTTGCTAGAAATCAAATGTTTATTGCTGAATGTGCTGCAAAGCACTCTTAAAAGCTTTTCTACCAAGTGTTTGATTCTAGCAGAGTAATAACCGTATTATATCTGGAGCTCAGAGTAAAAGGATCTGTGAAGGAATTGCTTAACCTCTCAAGGTTATTTACCTCTTTTTTTCTGTTTTCCAAACACAGGTTATTCTATCATGATCCAAGTTTCTAGAGTCAGTCCTGGATATGGAGCTTGGCTGTGTTTACGGCTCTATAAAAATGTTTGTAAAACGAATATCTTTGAATAAATTATCTGGTCCAGAGATCTGTGCTGTGTTTGAGGCAGACTCTTCTAGAGCTTTTCTAAGCGATAGGCTCCTAGACGATTTGAAAATAGTTATACTCTCTGCGGTGCTGGGGTTTCGGTGACACCATCATAGCTGCATAAATCCGGAGCAATCCTTGAGGCTTCACTTGCCTCTCAGACAAAGCCACCCTGACGTGGCATGTCAAGCGCCAGGCTGGGCTGTGTTTAATAAGGTAGACTTGGAAACAAAGCCCTTCTAGACCTTTTCTAAGCGATAGGCTTCTCCACGAGTTGAAAATAGTTATACTCTCTGCAGTGCTGTTGCGTCTCGAGGTTTTGGTGACACCATCATAGCTGCGTACATCCGGAGCAAATCCTTCCGGAGTGACGCTTCACTTGCCTTTCGGACAAAGCCACCCTGACGTGGCATGTCAAGAGCCAGGGCCTTGTGGTACTTGTAACGCCTCCATGCAAGCTGGATGTTTACAGCTGCCCAGGTCCGCCATCCAGGCGAGTAGTACCGGGTAGTGTGCCTCAGCTTCTCGTTGATGAAGGTGTGCTGAAAGTTCTGCGTCACGTACTTCAAGTCTTCGGCTTCAAGGCCAAACGCCTCCACTGATTCCAGGCAGCTGATGGTGGCAATGGAGGGTGGCAAACTCGCAATTGTGTCGGATGACCTGTATAGGCACCACGGTAGAAGTTCTTCCCCACAAAAGTTGCCAGGGCCCAGTGTGACAGTGCTCATTTTGCTCTTGCCCACTCGATACACGCTCTCAAGTTGCCCACGGACCATAAATAGCATGCGTAGCACGGGGTCGCCTTCTCTCATAATCTGACGTGCACATTTTCAGAGCAGCCGGCGTTAATAAAAACAAAGATTACAGTGGAGCTTCTTACGATTTCGTCCTTGATATAAAGGATTGGCTTCACGCGGTCGCAAATATTGTCTAGAACCACTTCGTCCATCTGTCCAAACAGTGGGACCTGCATAATTTAACAGTAGGAATGGATATTGACTAATCTTTATCATTGCAGTGCTTGCCTGTCGAACAAGGTCGAGACAGAGATGCCTCTTGATGTCTCGTTTGATGCCATCTGGCAAGTCACAAACCATGGCATGCTCGTCTACACCCCGGGTGGAAGCCCATTTCTGCCGCTCGTAATGTCGGACACGGTGCCTGAGGCGAGTTGGAAGCTGACGCCTCTTCATCCAGTGCTCCAGGTCCCTCATCTTAAGCTGCATTTCTTCTTTCTTTGAAGTCATAGAATAGAGAAACATCTGCCGTTTGACATGGTTGCTGTTAGTCCTTAAACATCAAATAATATTCTCAACACCTGAATGTTTCCAATGAGAAGTGTGAAGAGCAATAGGCCACAGGTGATGACAATGATGCTGAATGCAACCTCTGGTACATGGTTGGTGGGCTCCAAGTTTCCAAATGAGCTGCACATTGGCCCTGATTCAAATGGCTTTAAGGGAAGAGGCTCTTACCTCAATGTCATGAGACCCCAAAAAATTGGGTAGCTTATCCGTTCCAGCCAGTTCCTGGTGAGGGCCAGAGGTATTGTTGGCTGGTAGATTCCGTAGCTAAAAGTGTTGGTATAGTTGGAAATGCATGAGATGAAGGCGGCCGAGTTAATGCTGAGAGGTGATGTAGTTGATCCTTTGACTGGGGCATGTCCAAACGAGATAGGTTTGTGGCAACCTAGCCATGAGGATCGAAACCCCTTCTTTTCGAGCTGAACGTGCATACATGTCTCAATACGCTGAAGACCCAGTAGATACCAGCAAGCTCCTGCGACCTGGACGATACAGACCAGAGTAAGTAAATGTGAATGTAGTGAGTGAAGCTTACATGCGAGGCAATGAAGTAGGCTGTGAGATTGAGGACAAATCCCCACCATGCGCTGCTAAAAATGTAGCCTGTCACATGTTGCATTCTTCGCATGAGAAGAACCAAGTGTGACACCTTAGGCAGGTACTGGAGAATAAAAACGAAGAGAACGAGGCTCATCATGTGAATTCCCTGGTTACGCTTTGTGATCATCCCTGGAACTATCAGCCAGATCAGAACCTGCAGAATGTGTAGTCAGTGTTCGAATGGATCTCGTTCATTTTCAATTACCTCCATGATCGGCAGCATAACCAGAACGTCGCAGAGGAAGCCCTCACGTTGCTGAATGTAATGCAATGCTACCTTCTTACCGTCCCACACCAGTTTTCCCCTCCCAACGACAAGGCTCTTCTTAGACACGAATGCAAGCTTGAGCTGCAGCCGGACATGCCACAGCAGCATGACATCGATCGCTGCCCGAAGAATGGTCACCAGTGCTGCAAACCACCCGTCAACATGAAGGCAGGTGGAGTCCTCATCGATCGAAACGACATACAGGAATAGGGGATCGATTGCTAAGCTGAGCCCACGAGATACAAGGAAGAGCCGGTTCCAAGCACGGATATACCTGCTTCTTGGGTCCAGGACTTGACCAAAGATCCAGCTGCGGCTCTCACTAGATCCAGGCTCGGGTTTGTTGCTCGTTTCTGGCTGTGCGCCGCTGCTACTGCCGCTGGTGGTTGACAATGGCCGTGTAGTAGGACCGGATGACAAGCTTAAGTCAAAGCGATCTCTAGGCTTGTCTCCCGGAATCCTTTTCCAGAAGTTGAACAAAGCAGCTACTCTTTGCACCACGGAAGACATCCTGCATCAAAAGAAGGGTGAGGCGGGGAGAAGTCATTTCGATGTGATCAATTACTTAGACAAGCTAGTGAATTTGAGAGCCACCGATCGAAGTCACAAGGATACAGAGGATGGCTAACATCAGATCATCCGTTTCCCTTGCCTCCTTTAATTCTTCTTCTCCATCCAATCGGGCCAACATAACGCCATGGCATTTGGTTCATAGAGCTAAAGAGTGAACACTGAGCATCGCAGGTACAAGTTCGAAAACTAGCATCTCAAATTTCTTTGCAGCGCAAGAAACATTCGCTTCGCATTTCAAGGAAGAAAACAAGATACAAGTGCACCCTTTGCTGTTTCTACAAGGCCATCTTTTGCATTTTCTCTTTGTCGCGACTATCGAATTTTTTATTTCTATTTTTCATTGACAGGAAATAAGTGGCCTGTGGCCATTTTTTTCTTATCATAGTACAAGGCAATGGTGTTGTGTACAACGATATTTATAACATCAGCGTTGATAGCGACATCAGAACTAAAACGTCATTTAAAGACTTTAGAAGTGTGGGTGAAAGTAACAGCACTCGTGGACAGGATCTCATTAATATCAGCCACATGGGACATTCCAGTAGCTCCAGAAAGCACGGCAGCTTTTGCTTTTCTGTTCGAATTTCATAAATTTGGAAGCTTGAAGTTGTTTGAAGCTGATTTTCAGTTTAATGTAGAGTTATTAGTTCCGTGGCAGCTGAATCCTGGGTTTAACAGCTTGTGAGCACCAACCAAGAAGAAGGTGAAACCGAGGTGCCGCTAGGATTGATGGAGTTTAAAAGTACATGTAATATACTCAAGAGATCTACTGGGGAAAAAGGGACAAGCACATGACACCAAAATGTAGCCATTCAGATAAATGCCGAGCGCGCATGCTATAACTGTAGGTAGGTAAACATGTTCTTGCTATTCTTATTACCTAGCTACAGCCGACCGAAATTGTTACAGAAGGTACTTTGCGGGTCTTGGAATTGTCCTCCATGGCCTGGTTCGTTTCTTTGTCGAATGAACCACTGCTATGTAGGATGTTCTTTCTCGCGGGCTTGCCTCTGCGCTTCTTGCGCGTGATTGCAATGGCAATGTCGTTCGGAAAGAGTGTCCTCCACACAAACGCATGGACGAGAGTGAAGACAAACAAAAGGAAGACAACAGTGACCGCCACGAATGAAATTACTGTGGCCAGGCCTTGCGTAAACAAGCCGGGTTCTCTCACTGCGTAGTGAATCGAGGCAATGGCAACAGCCGTGAGAGGGAATGTGTATGCCCACCACGTCAAAGAGAACCTGTAGCACAGCACAGCCGTGTTAGAGCAAAATGATGGAGAGGGCTTTAAAGTAAGTACTTGAAGCCACGAAAGATACTGACGCGAACAACCTGCATGTAAAAGCGGAGCTAGATGTTAGCAACTTGAGACTAAGCTTGAGCTTTTCTACCAGCGAGAAGAGCAAGAAGAGGCCGAGAAAAAAGACGAGCTTGGAAACGTATCCAAAGTCGCTGGTGATCTTTTCCCAGGCAACACTAGCGGTGCTGGGAACTGCGAGAAAGAGGAAGTAGACAGGGTGCATGTCCCGCGTCAGCAGCTCGTTGGTTGGCAAGCGTTGGTAGAGCGTGACGAAGACGACGACATAGTGCGCGATGCCCACGGCCCAGAAGAAGGTTGCGAGCTCCTTCCACTCGACTGTGGCGCCCAGCAGCGACCCCACAAAGTTGCCCACAATGGAGACGTGCGTGGCGGGGTTGGCCACCTTGGACAGCCTCCGCTCCCCTCCGGACAACCATTGGCCATAGATCTTAAGCTCCAGCACCACCAGGGGCGACATGAAGACGAGCCAGGCGGCGGGATGGATTGAGGCGGCGATGGTGGGGGGCACCCCGAGCGTGAGAAACATGCCGCACACCCAGGGAGCAAAGAAGAAGTTGATGCGCACCGGGTGGTAGAACTCACGCCTCACAGCCTCAAAGTAGAAGATGCACTTGCACACATAAGTGAGGGAAATGAGGGTGTAGGCGCACAAGGCGACACACCACAGGACGAAGTTAATGTGGAGGGGGATGTGAAGGAAGCGCATCGAAGGCATGAGGGACAGCTTCTTCCACAAGATGGTCTGGCTGCCTAGACCCAGCACGATACCGAACGAGTTGATGGGGAAGCGGAGCAAAAAGGGCCACGTCTGGTCCGTTGGGAGCAGCAAGTCTTCACTCTCCTGCGCGCACGTTTAAAATTCAGCTCATCACCTTTTACTCCTTGTTAGTGTAAAACTTACCTTGAGAACTTCCAGCTCGGGTCCCTGAAGCGCATCAAGGTATCGACCCGCAGGGACATTTGCCTCGAGTGGTCGTGGTGAGGTGGGATCGCCATTAACAGCAGCAGCGGTGGTGGCGGCGGTGGCGGCGGCAGCAGCAGCGGCACTGGTGTCGCGGTTCCTTGAGTTGAAACTGAGCCTAGACATGGGAGACCTTGTCTGGAACATGGTGTACGTATCCGGAGTGCGCCTCTTCCACGGAGACAGGGGCTCCTCCCGTCGCATTACACCCGAGAAGCTTCTCCTCCATCGGTGCAAATCCGGATTGGGGGTGCTGCCGAGCTGCGAGCTGAAGCGCTGGTAGTTTTTGGACTGTTTGCTGCCGGCCGGTTCGTGCACTTGATCCATGAGACGGGGATCATCGTTAAACGTGTCCTTGGCTTCCAACTCCAAGACACGAAACGAGTCGGAGCGATCGGAGTGAAGCTTCTCCTCAGCCATGACCAAAAACAGGCGAGCCGAGCACACAGATCACATCCAGAGTGGTCTATCATCATCTACTTATAGGCCAGGCACCAAATGCATGGAGTGCCCAAGCCACGGGGAGCTAAAGAGGAAAGGGAAGAGTGCTCCCCATCAACTTTTTGGTGATCGATCGGAGATACTCGTCGATCGATCACTCGAGAGATTCGATGCTCCCATAACAATCACCCAAGAAGCCGTGCTCTGACTGCCTTACCAGATGGTGCGGTTCTCTTCCACATTCATCCATCCATCCATCCATCCACCAAACTAAAAGCTCTTTTGACATCGGAGAGCGACCGAATTTCTTTTCTGAAAAGATTGCTGCTCGATCGAAACGAGAGAGAGAAAGAGAGAGAGAGAGCCATACCGATCCCACGGCCGTGGATGAGCCACGTCAAGCGGTCCTCTCCCAACGGCTAGTGACCCAAGCTTGTTCTAGGTCACGCACAAGTCGAGTGTGGGCGATGGGCTCTGGCGGCTCTGGGAATCATCCGGTAGAGGTGGTGGGTCGCATTCGCGAGCAGCCCGATCCTAAATCCTGTCCGGCCGCTCTGTCGGCGGTGGGGAATGGGTCGTGTGTGCGCGTCAAGACGGATCAGGGCTACCGCGACTTCCTACTCGACGGTGTCTCTTTCTCTGCGCACGAGAAGCTGGCCGCCTTCTACGCCAGGTATGTCGAGTCGAGAGTGGACGATGTGCGCTGCGGTGGCCGCTGCACGATCATGATGTATGGGCCGACGGGCGCGGGAAAGAGTCACACCATGTTTGGGTCGGCCAAGGAACCCGGTGTTGCCTACCTCGCCCTTCATCACGTCATGAGCAAAACCGCTGCTCAGGAGGTTAGCGCCAACGTCCTCGAGATCTACAACGAAGATGTGTACGATCTTCTGGCCGGTGGCAACACTCCGCTCTCAAGCCCTGGCCCAAGATGTGCTAAGTCCATCTCTGGACGGGTAAACTTTGACAAGAATGGCTCTGTTGCCGCCACTCACGCTCTCATGCATGCAGCCCAAGCTGGAGGTGCGGGGCAAGAAAGTCAGGAATGCTACCAGTATCTCGAGCATAGATCCCACCAAGCTTGTCCAGGAAATCGCTAGAGTTGAGAAACGACGTGTTGTGAAGAGCACCAACAGCAATGACAGGAGCTCCCGGAGTCACTGCATGGTGCGTCACTCGCTTTCCCCTTCTTTCCTCCTGCAGAGCTTGAAAGTTGCACCCGTAGGTCGTGCTGAACATCCTTGGTGTGGGCGGAAGGCTGGTGCTCGTGGACATGGCCGGTTCGGAGAACTCCGAGCAAGCTGGATCAGAGGCAAAGATACAGGTATCGCCCGTCTGGTCTTTCATTGAGTGCATACCATTGTCTGTATGTCTGGCAGACCGGAAGAATCAACCAAGGCAACAGTGCTCTCAAGAGAGTTGTGGAGTGTATTGCAAATGGAAACCCGTATATTCCCTACCGGGACAGCAAGCTTACTATGCTCTTACAGGCAAGCGAGTGCTCTAGGAACGATATCGTCTTATATTCCTTTGCTCCAGGACTCATTTGAGGTCGATGGATCGAAGATATTGATGGTTTTGTGCGCCAGTCCAGATCCAAGAGACGTCTACAAAACGATATGCACGCTTGAGTACGGAGCCAAAGCCAAGTGCATTGTTCGGCTTCCAACTTCTCCCCCTAGAGACGGCAGCAGTCAGAATAGCAGCGAGGCTGCCCTACAGGCTCGTCTTGAGTTCAAAGACGAGTGCCTGGAGAGGCTGCGTGCGGACTACGAGCAGAAAGTGAAGGATCACGAGGAGGAGATGGAGAAGCTGGCAGACAGAGAGATGGAGCTTTCCAATCTGAGGACGAATTTGGAGAGGGTGGAAGCGGAGTGGTCTGGGAAGATGGCGGAGTTCAGAAAGGAAATGGGTCGTGCGATGGAGCTCAAGAGCCAGGAATTGCGCACAGCGCTCGAACTTGAGGTGCGAGAGAGGACTCCCGGGCTGGACGTGGGTTCGTCTTCGGAACAAGAACGTTTAACAGAGCTGGAGCGAGTTGTGGAAGATCAGAAGCAAGAAATTGGGCGGTTGCGTCTGAGGGCCGAGACTGCGGAGGCTGAGCTTGTTCGCTTGCAGCAGTCAACGCGCATGGTAGCAAAGTCCCGGGAGAGAGCGGAGGAGGGGCTGTTGTGTCTGGACACGAAGCAGCTGACACAGGTATCCGCAGTCGAGAGCTTGAACTCGTGGGCATCGCACGCCGCTTCTCCAAGGCTGCTGTCGTGTGCCGCTGACAACGGGCCTCCATCTTCGGCACAGACAAACGCTGACTTCAATTTCAGCTGCGCGTTCCAGCAGAAAGCTTCTTCATGTGGTCAAGCAACGTGTCCGGCCAGTCCTACAAGCCCCACAGATTCGGCTTCGCCCAGTGCTGCAGCAGCCAGGAGAGCCCGGATCGAGAACATCTTCCAGCTGTGCGGGGACGGTCGCGAGAGGTGCAAGACGGCCAACTCCCCCAAGCCGCCCAAGCCCCCCGGGAACAAGTCGAGCCGTCCGTTGCGGGCGGTGGAAAATCAAACCGCCGCAGTCAGTCCGCCGCCACCATGCAAGCTGCGCAGGCACGGTGAAAACTTAGCGCCATTCCTCTAAAAGGCTAAGAGGTGCCCTAACCTGCAATGGCTTGTGCGGTGGTGACCGGAGGCAGAGGGTTCCTGGGACGGCACCTGGTGCACAAGCTGCTGGAATCCGGCAAATGGGAGGTGGTGCGGATCATGGATCTGGCGGCTGGCCTGGCGGTGGACGCGGATGAGGAGAAGGCGTTGAGCGCGGCTCTGGAGAGCGGCAGGGCGCAATACGCTGGGGTTGATCTCCGCAATCTCCCCCAGGTGATTCAAGGTTGTATGCCACGAAGCGCTTGCGTGGTTGGTTGACACGCTACGCTCTCCTCCTTTTGACTTGACAGCTCTCGAGCATGCCACCGTTGTCTTTCACATGGCTGCACCCGATTCCTCCATCAGCGACTGGAAGCTGCACCACTCGGTCAATGTGATTGGTAAGTGGCCGGCCATCCATCCAAGCAATCAGATCCCGAGTGTTGGGTGTTGCAAGGCACGCGCAATGTGATTGAGGCGTGCATCGAGCAGGGTGTGCACAAGCTCATCTACACCAGCTCACCCAGCGTTGTGTTTGACTACATCAATGGGGTCAAGGATGCGGATGAGAGCCTGGCGTACCCAGCCAAGGTGCACTCTCTCTCTCTCTTTCACCCTCTCTGGCTTGTGAACTTGAGGAGCTTGTTACCTGCAGCTCATGGATTCGTACTCTGAAACCAAGGCGCAAGCCGAAGCACTTGTCCTGGATGCCAACGGTAGGCATGGGCTGGCCACCTGCGCTATCCGCCCGAGTGGGCTGTTTGGGCCGGGTGACCGGCTGTTTCTACCGTCGATTGTGGCAGCAGCCAGAGCAGGCAAGCTCAAGGTGTGCGCTTCCGGTGTCGATGGCCGAGACTCACGTGTGCCTTGACTGCTTCAGTTTCAGATCGGGAGCGGCGACAACAAGTTCGACTGGACCTATGTTGAGAACGTGGTTCATGCTCACGTGTGTGCCGAGGAGGCATTGGTGGATGCAAGCGGTGTTGCTGCTGGCAAGGTAAGGCCATTGTGTTCCTCCCTTCCCTGGAGGTCAGGTCGCTTGCTCGCAGGCCTACTTCATCACCAACTGCGAGCCGGTCAAGTTCTGGGAGTTTCTGTCCGAGTTCCTGGAGCGATTGGGATACTCGCGGTGCGTGGGGCAAGCGTTGCATCGAGTGTATGAGCTAACTCTGGCTTCCTTGTGCGTTGTTCCATGATGCAGGCCCCAGTACCAGCTGCCAGTCGCCTTGGTTCTGCCCCTGGCCTGCATTGCCGAGTGGGCTTGCAAGCAGCTTGCACCGCTGGGGGTCCCGATGACGCAGTTCACCCCCGCCAGGATACGCTACATGACCTTGTGGCGAACATTCAGCTGCGACCGAGCCGCGAGTCTGCTCAAGTACAAGCCGCTCTACACAGTGGAGGAGGGCATCCAGCGGACGGTGGCGTCGTTCCAGCACCTGCGGGCTTCCCCAGCCGCCGCCGGCGATGGCAAGTCAGCGGCACGTTGGTGGTGGATGGTCCTTGTAGCCGTCGTTTTGCTCGCGGTATTTTTCCAGAGATTCCTCCACGAGGTAGCCTAGACTAAAGAAAGAAACATTTTGGTGCGAAATAGGCGAGATTTAGGTCGTGGTGATGGCGGCACTGGTGCTGGGCGGAGCTGTTGTGAGTCGGACAGAAAGGCTGGTGCCGCTGTCTTGCTACGGTGATGCAAGGCGGCGCCATGAGCGGCGGCGGCGGCGGCAGTGGGATGGCAAGACGCAGCAGCAGCAGCAGCAGCAGCAGGAGGAGGAAGAGAGCAGGGTGAGCATCACGGTGGAGGATCTCGGCAGCAGCGCAAGGGATGCCCTTGTGCGGATGGCACGAAGGGGCGACGAGTGGCGAGCAAGCCTCGTGTCTATGACTTGCTCTGCTGCTGTGGTCGGGCGATCCGCGTCCGCAGCAGACTTGATGGGCTTGGGGGCGCTGTGCCTGCTTCTCGTGGCTCTGGCGACCAAGGCTGTCATGGCCTTGGCGGCCAGGGGAAAGAGGAAGCTAGTGGTGAGGAGAGATCGGAGCTTGGGCGGCAGGGAAGTCGTAGTTGCCGCGCACAACAAGATACAGAGCAGGCCCCTGATCCCTCTCCACGATTCCCCATCCAACCTTGAGAGGCGGCAGCAGCAGCAACGGCGGCCAAGGAAGGAGGAGCTGCCTGCATGGTGGCGCCACGCATCATCACCATCCGCCGGTGATTCGTTTGCTCAAGCCGAGGCCAATGCGCTTGTGCGAGGTAAGGAATATTGTGGAGTGGCACATATGCTCTTGCTTGAGAATCAGGACTTGTGCAGCGGTTGTCAACAAGCGTTTGGGTGGCGTAGACTTCGACGAGGAGGACGCTGTACAGGTAGAAAACACATACACATAGACACACGCGCGCATTTGAGCTCAACTGTTTGGTAAGGCTGGCTGTGTTGTGTGCTTGTGTTCAGCTCAGACAGATTTGCAGACACTCTGGTGCAAGGGTTGATTTTGGCACCGAAAACACTCGTGATTCCTTCTTCCGAGCGGCCGTTGGATTCGTTTTGTCTGCCTGTTCCAGGTAGTAGCTATGTTCGTCTCCACGCTTAGCTTAAAGCTGTGGTTTCCAGGCTAATAAGCTCCGGTGACAGCGAGGTGGAATACGGCGGGGAAAGCATGGTGTCTTTCGTGTGTGGTTTGGCCGCAAATATAGGCTTGGAGCCTGCGAAGGCAGCTTCAATTGTGAATGCTGCTGTTGCTGCACGCACTCGTGCAGGATTTTTGCAGGCGTGGGTAAGTAAGAATTTCTGAGGCCATTGCTGGCACTGAGGGGTTGGTTGCAGGCGAACGTTGCCCAAGAGAGGATGAGCGACGCCATGTCCGACATCAGGCAGCTCGTGTGCATGCACCGGGTTTTCCCTCCCGAGCCTAACTCGGTAAGCGAAGTGTGTGCACGTATGAAGTTTCCAAAAACTCCTTTCTCCACAGCCTCACATGGAGATGGTTGGCCGTGGCCTAGAAGCACACCTTACTCCCCAGGAGCGACTGGAGCTGCTGCAAATCTACTCCAAGCTATCGGCACAAGGGGCTCGTGTGGCAGAGGAAGCTCTGTCACTTCCTTCTTCCTGGATCAGCCTAGGTGACTGACTAATCGATCCCTCTGGTAGGCCGAACCAATCGACAAGAGCCAATCAAGAAAGCTGCATGTCGTGGCACCAAAGTTTTTGTGTTGGACCGTCCTTATCTGGTTTGGTTTCGAGCAATATGAGCGAGCTAGCGAGAGTGCGAGAGAGTTTAAAACGCAGAGTGCCTTGCAAGCCACGACGGGAGACAGGCAGGATAATGATATGTTTAGTTGCAAAACAGGAGCGTACATTGTGCGAAAACACCGCGATCAAAACTCATTCTCTCTAGTTCGCTCTCTCCTGATTCTCTCTCTCTCTCTCTCTCTCTCGGACACGACGGATTCCGTGATTTGCTGCAGTTAGCCGAGAGCTGATTTGGAGGCGGATCTCACGGGCTCGAGAGAGCTCATCAAGGGCGCTGGATGTTCCGATCGCAGGGCATGGGCGAGGCGCAGGCTTAAGGAGACCAGCCATGAGCAGCAGCAGCGGCAGCGGCAATGCAGCTGCAGGCATTGGGCGTTCTACTGGAGGTGCTGCTGCTGCTGGCGGGGACTTGTTTGGGGCAGCTGGATGTGGTGCTCACGCGCCGGCCCCCGCCGGCAAGCTCCCACACCAACGTCTCGTTCCAGTTTGATGTCTTGGATGGGAAAGGGCGCCATCCCTGTGCCACATTACCATGCTCCATTCGCTGCAGGGTGGGTTTCAGGCTGTGCGTTTTCTTGCTCTTGATGGTTTGCTTTCCCTCCCCTTCAGCTGGACCAACTCGCGTCGGAGGATTGCTCGGGCCGCGCGGGAGTGTCTTACAGCAACCTGCGAGACGCCAGGCATACGTTTGAGGTGTCTGTCAACACGTCGACTGGGCTCCGCGCCTCTGCGCACTACTCGTGGATCGTAGGTATATATGGATCTAAGCATCTCTCCTATTGGCTGATCAGATGCGATATGACTTTCACAGACACGATCGCTCCCACAGCCGCCATAGTTCCCAGCCAGACCTTCACCAACGGTTTCAATGTCGCTGTGCGTTTTGTCTTCAGTGAACCCTGCATCGCGCCCAATGGTTTGCAGTTCTCGTGCGCAAGCGAGTCGAGCTGTCCCGTAAGTAGAGAAAGGGTGGTAATCATCTCAAGTGATTTTTGTCCATGGCTTACTCAGCTGGTGGTGCGTGGTCCGGGAGCTCTGCTGCCCTCATCGTTCAAAGTTATTCGTGACAACGTCGAGTACAGCTTGAGCGTCTCCCTCTCCAACTCCACCGCCAAGGGCCGGATCCTGCTGGTCATGGCCAAAGCTCTGTGCTCCGATGCAGCCGGTAACGTGTTCGTCAGGAGCAGCAACTCGGTTGCCATTGTCCGCTTTGGTAGGTGGATGAGCTCATTACGAGTCTGATATCATCTCTTTCAATTTGCAGATCGCGGTGCCGTATTCGTCAATCTGTGGACGCCCGTCGCCGACTCTCTCCTTCTTGTGAACAACGTGGCGAGGACAGTCGAGACCACCAACAGGGTGGAGGATCTCAAAATCTACCTGGATTTTACGGAGCCCGTGCTGAACACAACACAGCAGCTGTCCGCGTTGCTGCGCCCCAACCTTGGGGTGCTTGAGCCTACCAGACGAAAGAGTCGAGGCAACCGAAGGTTTGCTTTCTTGGTGGGTGAATACAATACTAGACCATTTATGAATGACTCATGCTTTCTTTGCAGCTCACGAACATATCGACTACGAGTGCTGTCATCACCGTGGAGCTGCAGTCGAGCCTTGTTATCAGCAGAGCTGGCTCCCGTGTGCAGCCCGTAGCCCCAGCCAGCTTCTTGTTTGGTGCGGACGTAACTGATCATGACGTTGTTGTCAAGGTGCTCACAAGAATTGTGTCGTTTCAGATCAAGTGAGGCCTCAAGCTCTCGTTAGCACGCTATGGACGTCGCCAGCTAAAACGAGGAACCGTCTGTTTCCAGTGCTGATCCGGTTCTCGGAGCCGGTCTTTCAGTTTACATCCGCAGCTGTGTCTACAGAAGGCGGAAGAGTTTCCAGGTACAAAGATCAATGAGGTCTCGAGGTTTGATGTGATTTTCTTGTGTTAGTTTCAAGGAGTTGTCTGAGGCGACATATTTCCTGGAGGTTACAATTACTCGGGAAGATGATGTTGTCTCAGTTTTTGTTCCAGAGAATGCTACAACTGACGTTGCTGGGAACACAAACTTGGCATCCAACTTGTTGCGAGTGAGGCATTGTACGATGTTTGCACGCTGCGTCTTGAAAGGCCATGACTAAAGATTGTTTCCGTCCGGTGAGCAGACACTGTACCTCCCATATCCGGCGCACTCTATTCCTTGATTTCTGCTGGCTTGCTCGCAACAGCGGTGTTCTCTGCAGCCCTCTCCATCTCATGTGCAAGCTTAGCAGCAGCCGGAGCTCTAACCAGCAGCACCGTCAGTGCTATTGTCACAGATCCTTCACGAAATCTGCTGGTAAGAGCATAAAAAGTGCATCTATCTGTCGCCTAAAAGGTGATTCGATTCCCAGGGAATGGTCGGTCACCTCCAGGTATTTGCTCTGTCCGAGAGACTGACCGTTAGGAGCGTGCCGCGTGAGTATTCTGAGAGCGTGAGGGGACTACGATGGCTCATTCCACACGTCAAAGTCCCATGGGAGAAGGACCGACCGGTGTCTGATGCGTTTGATATCGACTCGCAGCCCGCTCCATCTTTGGTCGAGACAAGGTGGCGGAAGCTGCACGCTGCCATGCCATTGCATGGACGAAAGCTTGGCTCAAATTCGTCTACTTTCGGACCTCCTCTACGAGCTGCCGAATACCAGAGCTATTTTGAGGTTTCGTGGAATAATCCAATGGCACCTTTTTTGACTGCTGCTTGCAGAAACCGCAAACTACTTCTTCTCTTCAAGACTTGCTGAGGCGCAAGTACACGGGGTAAGCCATCTTCATTTTCAACATTTGCTTCATTCCGAGTGGGCTATGAAGGTGGCACGATTTTGAGAGGAATGTGTTTTGGTTGGCGGTGGCTGGACTGGCTCTCACACTTGTTCACCTGGCTACGTTGACGTTTCTGAGATGGCGAACCAAGACATCGGTGCGGGGAGCCCTCACGGTTCCTAGATTCGAGCTCTTCTTGGCCCTGCTTTCCTTGCCTTGCATCACGCAAGCTTGTGCATTCGTTATATCGGGTACGTGGTTCATGAAAAATGCTGTACCACGAATTTACTTAATTGTGGGTCGCAGGAGGCAGCGTTGCTGGGATTGTGGTGGGCGTGATACTTCTGGGATTGCCTGCCGCGTTCATGCTGTGCGTCTCTCTCTTCCTGGCCGTAGGGGTGGGCAATGCGGCATTTGTACAGTACCAAGAGGTGAGTTTAGTGGGGAGGAAGCAGGTCTCCTGTCATGAAGCAGTGTTAGCGTCCGTGGTTGGCAAGCGGACTTTTGGGAGGTGGGTGCGCAAGGCGGGGCTGTCGTCTACGTTTCTGCCCAGGTATGGGTTGCTGTTTGAAGACCGTAAAGGTCCTCCCAAAGTGGTGGTGGTGGATGCGGAGCAAGAGGCGACGGCATGGGTTGACAGTGGCTCCAACGGCATTGGAAGGATGAAAGGGATCAACTGGGAGGGCGAGCAGGCGGAGCACGCCGCTAAATGGAGCAGGAGATGGTCTGTGGGAGCAGCCAGGACGGCTTACATCGTTGTGGACATGCTCCGCCGGGCAGCCCTGGGGATCCTTTTTGGCGCGTACCCGGCTGCAATTGGTGGTGGAACAAGCCAGGTTCTGAGTGCGCTGCTCATCACCGCGTCCCAGCTGCTCTACTTGATGCTGCTCAAGCCTTTGATTCGGCGGGGCGTCCACGCGGTGGAGGCGGTGTCGCTGGCGTGTGAAGCGGGAGTCTTCGCGACTGCTCTTGCGCTGTCATGGCATCGGTATGGCAAGGCTAGTGCATTTGTCATGCTGGCCTTTCTGCTCGTCACCTTCATAGCGCAGCTTGTGAATGAGTGGTATGCACTCATGGGACTGCTGCTCCGCCTGCCATCCGCGGAGCAGCCGTCGCTCAGCCTGGGGCTCAAGATGCTGCTGCGGGGCCTGCTGCTGCCGTTTGTCCCCCGTTCAAAGTGGTCCAAGTTCGTCACCCCGCACGCGAACAGGCAGCCGGCGACTGGCCTCGCCCCGGTGGTGCACTTCACTAGTCCGTCACCAGACTTCCAACAAGCACGGTCCATACGGCCGGATCAGGCCGGAGTGGAGGTTCCGGCACCGGATCCACAGCTGCCGCGGTCGCCAGCGGGAGGAAACAAGAAACAGACGTGGAATGAGTGGGTGAGATCGCTGTCCTTGTCGTCGTCGGCGCGGCCGCAGGAGGAGACACTCAAGGTGTTGCGGGAGCTCGCCAGAGCCAGCTTCCCGGGAGGAGATGAAGTGCGGGGCAAGCAAAAGATTGGCTGTGGGAGCAGTGCGGAGGAAACCACGTCGTCGTCGTCGTCGGGCGGTGCTGTTGCCCAGGAGAGATGAATCCTCAGAAAAAACGCGAAATGAAAAGTTTTAGCTAGGGTTTAACTAGGTCTGGCTTTGATGCTGCGCATGATGCAAAGGCACCTGTGTACGCCTGCAGCGATTCCGGCCCCGACACGCGGCGCCGCCTGCCTCGGTCTCTCATCCGCCCCTGCATCCGTCCGCATCTTCTCCTCTTCCACTCCCCCACGAGCAAGAGCACAGGCGCTGAGGGCCGTGTCCGATATGGCGTTTGAGCGGATCAAAGTCGACAATCCGATCGTGGAAATGGATGGTTCGATTTCGCACTTACCAGCTGCGTTGCCTGACCTCGCATTCCTGCTTTTCGACAGGTGATGAGATGGCCAGGGTGATCTGGAGCATGATCAAAGAAAAGGTACATGGATAGCACACAGCAGCGGCAAAGAGCAATCATTCCCTTCTTTTCTTGCAGCTTGTTGTGCCGTTTGTGGATGTGGATATCAAATACTACGATCTTGGCATTCTCAACCGAGATGCCACCGATGACAAAGTGACTGCTGAAAGTGCGCAGGCTACCCTCAGGTACGTAGGATTTTTGCTGCTCTATAGAGTTTCGATCGGCACGATATTGACTCGTCACAGGTACAACGTGGCCGTCAAGTGTGCAACCATCACTCCTGGTTTGTTTTTCCGTTTGCTTGCAACCCAGCCTCAGGCTTTCATTGTTGTCGCGCTGCAGATGAGACTCGGGTCAAAGAGTTTGGGCTTAAGAGAATGTGGAAAAGTCCCAACGGAACCATCAGGAACATCTTGAATGGTAGGTAGATGAGCTCAATGCATTCTATCTCTCATCTCCGCTTCAGGTACCGTGTTTCGGGAGCCTATCCTTTGCAAAAATATTCCGAGACTTGTGCCAGGTGATTGATTTACTAAAATGTAAGCTTGGGGCCGAAGCAGTCTTTTGCAGGATGGCAAAAGCCAATTTGCATTGGCAGGCATGCTTTTGGGGATCAGTACCGAGCAACAGACATGGTGATTCAAGGTCCTGGAAAGCTTAACCTGGTATACGGTATGTCATCGAGTGTCATTTGTGGTATATACCCACATATGTCTTTTAACAGTCCCTGACAATGGAAAGCCGGTGGAACTGGAAGTATATAACTTCAAGGGCGCGGGTGGCGTGGGACTGTCCATGTTTAACACAGACGAGGTCCTTATGCCCGTACTGTTTCCGGAGCAATGCCTGACATCTTTGTAAACGTCGTCTTGAAGTCGATTGCAGCTTTTGCGAAGTCGTCGATGATGATGGCCTATGACAAGAAATGGCCTCTATACTTGAGCACAAAGAACACAATCTTGAAGAAGTACGACGGCAGGTATGACTCTAATGTTCTCAAAGTAAACGTCCACCTTGTAATGGTTGATCTCTTCGCCTCCAAGGTTCAAGGATATCTTCCAGGATGTATATGAAGCCGACTGGAAATCAAAGTTTGAGGAAGCCGGAATCTGGTAAGCATACAGCCTATTGACTATATGTCCATGGACAATGCTGGCGCAGGTATGAGCACCGGCTTATTGATGATATGGTCGCGTACGCTCTGAAGAGTGAAGGTGGTTATGTATGGGCCTGCAAAAATTACGACGGCGATGTTCAGAGCGATTTTCTTGCTCAAGGTACGCCTCGGTGTACAACGTTGTCTCTCATTTATTTCGAGTACCCCCAGGTTTTGGTTCACTGGGTCTCATGACTTCAATTCTGGTAAGTCGAGGCAATTGGACGGCCTGTTTAATATGTGTTTGATGTAGAGATGTCCCGATGGGAAGACCATCGAAGCTGAAGCTGCTCATGGCACAGTGACACGGCACTTCAGGGTGCATCAGAAGGGAGGAGAAACTAGTACGAACAGTATAGCATCCATTTTTGCATGGAGCCGGGGACTTGGCCACAGGTAAGACGTCAGGCTTGTCTCTCGCTTTGGCTTTAGACCGTGAGTGCAGGGCTAAACTGGATGGTAACTTAAAACTACAAGAATTTGCTGAGAAGCTGGAAGCGGCTTGTGTTGGGACTGTCGAAGCTGGCAAGATGACTAAAGATCTTGCGATACTTCTCCATGGCCCGAAGTAAGTTGGCAACAACTTTCTTTGTTTGCTCACGTTCTCTGTTCTTGTAACAGGGCTCCTCGGAACATGTATCTTAGCACCGAAGACTTTTTAGATTCGGTCGCAGGCGATCTCAAGCGGCGGCTGTCCCCTGCTACTTCCAAACTGTAACCAGACTTACTTTGTGCGCTCAGTCATTTATATTCATTCCATTTGATAACAGGGAGGAGCCGCTTCTTCAAGGCCGCTGAGAATCAAAGTACAATAACTTGCTTCTCCGCAAGAAAAGTTTGTACAGAACGGAAATAAAGACTGCGCTTCTACACAAGCCTCTTTCACTTAACGTCTTCTTCATCAAATGCACCCAGGGCCTTCATGTCCTCCAGAAAAGCGGAATAGGAGTCGTCGATGCTTTGAGGCTTGACAGCTAGAACGGGAGGCCTCGGTGTTATGGCTGGGGCAGCAGCGTGAGTTACAGACGGCTTAGGCTTTGCTTTCGGTGCTGTTTCTCTTCTAACTCTCACAGACGCTGGCACCTGTCAAGGGAGTCGCAAAATGAAATAAATAGGTAACTTTCGAAGTTACGTACCATGGCAGTGAGGCCCGGAGTGTGCTGTGCTAGGGGTCGCTTTGTCGCTGTTGGGGCCGCAGACTTGACATAGAATGGCTTATTGGTGGTGGTGGTCTTAGGGGGGGCTTCTTGTGCTGTTGCTCTTGGTGCTACAGCTGCTGGAGGAACACTGCCGTAGGCCATGCCAACGTGAGGAAGACCTGGCGGTGGTGGAAACGTGAAATGTGGCTGTGATATACCAGCTGGTGGTGCAACCATTCCAGGAGGGGCCAGCGGCAACCTTGGAGGAACAGGGGGCGGAGGTCTCATTGCTGGTGGTGGTGGTGGTGGTGGTGGTGGGAGTGGTGTCATTTGCATCGGCGTTACTAAGGGTGGCCGGACCACAGCAGATGACGTTGAGGCAGCTTTTTCTCGTTCAGAGTCGGAGTCGTCATCGTCATCGTCGTCGTCATTATCATCGTCTCCAGAGTCTTGAGGTGGTGTATCTGCCAACTACATGCCAACAAAGGGTCAACACTATGACAAGAAGCACGCTATACGAACCTCTGCTCTCGCATCGTTCCCTGCTGAGGTAGAGGGCTCCCCGGGAGGTGGAATATACGTCATAGTCGAAGGCTTGGGTGGCAAGCGAGGAGCAGGAGGCGGCGGAGGAACGGGCACAGAGAGCGGGTCCAACTCACTCACTTCCCTGCTCACAGGCAAAGGTGGCGGAGGAGGCGGCGGCGGGAGAGGCACAGCTACATTCAGCTCGGGCGCTGAAATCACATGGACACCAACATTAGGGACTTGAGAGCTGATATTGAGCGATCGCGACATGTACCTGATCCTGTGAATGGTCTGTACATTGGCGGCTTCCCAGGTGGTGGAACTCCAGCGGGATTTAGCGTCGTATGGTCATACGCAGAGTCCTGGAACTTGTTGTAAGCACAAGTACAATGGAGTGCGGGACCGTGTCACCTGAGGTGTGTATGGCTTGTCGTCGTCTTCTTCGCCTGGAGCTTTTGCTCGAGGAGCAGGCAAGTGGCTGTCATCCAATAGACCTGTCAGATGGTTTGGCACAAAGGCATAAAATCTCTAGCAACAAACAGCTTACCTGAACATAACCGGATCTTCTCCTTTTTCTTTCATCTTGTCCACGTACTCCTGGTTGCACCCAGCGTTTTATGATTGGTACCCACAACCTGGGAGGTTTCAAGAGCATACCTTTCTCTTCTTGAGAACGAGGTTGAGAGTGTCCTCGAGCTGCCGCTTCTTGTGCCGCCTCGTCTTGTCCAGAGCTCCATCTGCTTCTGTATCTAAAACGTTTGCCGCGCACTGTTTGTCAGTGTTGGCCTAGAAATGCATGCGCGCTTACTCTGGGTGTCGAGCTTCTTGATCTGGTCCTTGAGAGCCTCCGGGTCCTTTTTGAGAATGCCCACCTCCCTCACCTTCTTCCTCTCCTTTTTGTTCTGCAAACATGGAATTGAGCGACAGGAAGAGCAAGAGCAAGCGCAACTCACTCGTTTCAACTCCTTCTTGCGCAGCTCCTTGCGGTATGCGTCCGTGGGATTCATCGCCTTGCCGCCCTTGCTCTTCATGGCTCCAGCCCTTGTGCCCTAGAAAATGATAGCCTAGGGCAGACTATTATTTACAGTTGCGCAAACAAAACAATACGAGCCTAGAATCTGGTGGAGGATGGGATCCGGGTCATTCCCGAGGGCACAAATCCCCGCTTCTTCCTCAGGTAGAGCACCGGCGAGAACACCGCCAGCAACCCCAGCATGATTCCCTGCGACCAAACAAGCGTGATGGGATGACACTCGAAAACAAATTGGGCCACCCACCTCGAAGCCGACAACGCTGAGCCTGTCCTCGGGAACGGACGGCACGCAGCTCCTGTAAATGTGGAAGATGTTGCTGCTGCTGCTGTCTTGCTGCCTCGCGCTTGCCGCCTTGCGGGGGGCTCCCTCCTCGTCTTGTCGGGTGACGCTCACGCACTTGTACGGCATGTAGTAGCCCGTGGCGGAGCAGTGGTAGACGTCATCGTTTTCCTGCCATGGCGCCCGTGGGGCATCAGGCGCAAGCAAGAGATGGTGAAACAGTCCCTGGAAAACCTTTTGAGCGAGGGCGCAGGGCACGCAGCGCTGGGACGCGATGCATTCGAAGCTGGAATTCCCCTGTTGCTCCGATATCACCAGAGGCGAGGATGACGACGATGCCGTGCTGGAGATACGAGCACACATGAATCCATCCATCCATCCATCCACAGGCCGAGGGAAGCTTACCATTGATGCGCAACCACGAGCAAGAGGCCAAGTGCCAGCCACCGCTGCGCCATTGCGCAACCTAACCCTAAAGTCGGGCACCACTCCATGGCGGAGGCGAGCATTGCGCGCGTGCTGCGCAGCGGGGCCGCCGATGGCGAGCACGCGGCTGCCGTGATGGTGATCAACGCCGTCGATACAACAGCCGGGTTGGGCATCTTCAGGCATTTTGTGGAATCGCTGGTTGCCAACCTTGCGTCTGGAGCGGCACAAGCGAAGTAAGTGTTTGCTTCGTCTCTCTTGTTTGACGCGCTCGCTTGCAAGCCGCAGAGGATTGGTGTTGGTGGCATCGTCTTCTAGTCCGCAAACTTACTCCTCCGTGCTGAGAAATGTGTCATCGTCCTGGTAAGAACATTGTTCTTGCGCTGAATTCTTTGTGACTCGAGACTTCTGCAAAGCTTTCAGGTTCTGGACTGTTTTTCGGATCCCCTGGGGTGGGAAAGGCTGATCTCGCCAAACACAACTAGTCTGGAGGAGATGGAAGCTATCGACGTGAGGAAGCTCAGCTCTCTTTTCTCAAAAATTCACGAGGCTGGCAAAGGTAGTCCCCCCTTCTTTCTTTTGTCCTGCTTTAGCGATCAAGCGTGTGTGTTTGCCAGTGTTCGCCGATAAGCAACCTAAAGGAAGATTTGCTGTCGCGATTGACTCGGTACCAGTTGTCCTTCTATCTCTGCTTTCTGATCATTGATTGTCTCCTTTGTATATCGCAAAACCAGCTGACCTTTTTTATGCGGCACCACTCTTTGGCCGCAGTCTCGAGCTTTATTTGCCAGCTTCGGGCTCTCGGTACGACTTTGTAAGTTTGTATGCCTTCTAACAGGGGCGATAAATGTGCAGATAGCGTGTCTGCAATCCTGTGGTTCACGGATGGTGGTCTGCATCAGGCCAGGGTCTTGGACGCACTGGAGTATAATGCAACAGCCACCGCTTTTGTGGAGCCGCAGTTGGATTTTCTTGACACGAGAGGCGCCGGAAGGCTACGAATCCGGCACAAGCGAAGAAACGGGCGGGTCTCAGAAAAGGTGCGTGCTCTGGCTATTCAATTTTGTGTGTGACAAGTCGAAAACGTTTCTTCAGGTGGATGAGTTCAGGGTGGAGGTTGGGAGGTTCAACTTCTTCCCCGTGGAGCTTGGCACCAAAGTAGACAATGTTGATGCGATTCACAAGGTAGTAGAGCTCTCATTTTTTTCGGAGGCACATGGTTTTGTGTGGCATGTTCAGGTTCAGTTTAGACTGCACCTGTCAGACAAGGAAGTGGAAGACAGATCCAGAGTGAGACTTCCCTTCGAACACCAAGGTAGGAGACTTCATGCCTCTTCCAAGGAGCTTAGCCATCCGTTCTGTGTTTCAGGGGACGGACAGGAGGTGCGAATATATGACGGTCGCCAGTCAGAAGCTGGAGTCGAAACAAAATCTTCCAGCGGCAGCATTCACTACCTGCGGGATTCCGACGACGAAATGCCAGATTCCGACGAAGACCCCGATGATGACTTGGACATCTGAGCAGGAACTCTGGCTACTCAACCATTATACAACGAGTTTAAACTTTACACGCAGACTTGCGGATTTTCAAGCGAACACATTTCACCTGAGAAATGGTGTGGAAGAACGTCTTCTCAAGCACTTCGTCTGGAATTCCGGATCCAAACATGGACTGAGCAACGAACTAGAGTCCAGGGAGGTGGGAGATGAGCGTGACGATGACTTTGGCGTTGGTCTTCCCCACGCTCATCTGCCAGTGGATGAGACCCTCATGCCTTCGCCCTTGGTGATCACTCTGGCATACAGCCGGCTGTCCGAGGTGATGATAGCGGCGTGGGCGCCGCCTTCTTCGACGTAGACAAGCTCCGAAGCTCGGGGATGGGTGTGCGGAACGATGATCCCACCCAGTGCGAAGTCGAGCCTGCCAATGGACAGGCCCAGCCCCGGGAAGAGTTGGACTGTTCCGAAGGTGGCACCAGCTCGGTCCACGTTGGTGGAAGACTTCATCTATTGCGGCCTCGTCAATTCTTCCAAATTCGACGGTGGGCGTTGATATTCAAGTCCATGGTGAGATTAGCGATGCAGAAGTCCTGGAGGGGGGTCCGGGTCGGACGAAACAGCCGAGCCGACAAAGAAAGCGAACAACACCAGAGTGCAGGAGAGTCATACATACAATTATCTCTTTGGTAAGGAGTCATGTCAATCAATCACACCGACACGGTCCCAGTAGGTGACTTATCACTAGGGGAGAGGAAAAACTTTGCTTACAGCTTGTTACTTGTAGTATCCGATTTCCGGATCGGCTGGAACCGGAGACTTTACCTCTAGTCTCGACAAAACTTCTGGAGCTCCTGTTGGATCTCTTACAACCTGGGGCAAAAACGGCATCGTTTCAAACAAGTGAAACAAGAGCTACTCACCAGCACTTCTTCGTCCAAGTACGAGATAAGCAACAGCCTCTCGTAACTCAAGCCTCCACCTGATCAGATAAAACTTCCTAGTCAGGCTCACAGATGTACTTTAGGTGGTTTACCAAGTGGAAGCTTGAGGCCGCCAGAGACGCTATCCTTGACAGACTCCGGAAGCCTATGAGCGGCAGCTACAAACTGGTCGTAAATTCCTTGAACTTGGGTTGGAATGCTGCCTTCCTTGACAAGCGGAGGAGCTATAACACCATCCACGTACTGTTCTTTAAGCCGCAATGGCCCTTGAGCTGAAATATTTGTTGTCAATATGAAGCTCGTCTCAATCTGCACCTCATCAAACGAAATGAGAGAGAAAGCAAAATAAAGTTGGCAATTGAGACCAGCAAAACTTACCGAGTTCAAGAATTTGAGATTGAGAGTAGCTCTCGCCATTCCGTCCATTACTCGTAGCGTGACTCCTTCGATAGACAGCAATGCGGGGAACGTTCTACACATTACACAAGACACTGAAGTACTTTTTCCAACTTGCCTTTAGGACACAATGTACGTTATCAAAACCTTGGATGCCATGAACCGAGCTCCCGCCCACTCGAGATTCCAAAGGCCCTCGAGAAGAGGTGACCTGGGGACAGAACCAAACTTGTCTTTGTTAGCCGCATCATGCGTCCCGCTTACGTCGTTGGACGTGGAGTTGGATTCAAGCGCTCCACAGCGAGCAGCTTCTCACATATGTCGAGGACCGCAGCATCGTTGCTCGCGTTTAGGCCTCCCGCATCTTTCACCTAGTAGCAGCAAGGAGCAAACAAGAAAAATCGAAACTGAGGATAATGCATGGACTCACGGCGAAAAGTAGAGCCTCTTTTGCTGCGACGCGCTCCATTTCTTTTGCAAACAGAGCCGTGGATGGATTGGCGGCCCTGGTGACGAGACGGCGGCGCAGGCGCCTGGGAGCGGGAATCGCCGAGATTGTCGAGACCGCGAGCCGGAATTGGGCTCCAGGGATTGGAAAAGCTGGAGCCGGAGCCGCAGGCGCCCCTCCAACTCTGATACTCGCCATAGCAACACAAAGTAAATTAGGGCTTTAGTGCTCTGTTTTAGGGCTTTTCATTTGTTCTCCCGATCCACAAGATTATCGCCAGGCACAGTGGCACAACAGCGAATGCGGCGTCGCGAATGACTGCCTCGCTACCTTTGGATAGCACACCGATTCGCGACCAGTCGCCACTATACCTGTGAAGCGACCATGTCAATGACAATACATGTACATAACAAACGCACCCGGCGTCAAGGAATCCCAGCGCGAACACTCCCACCGAGAGCTGCACGACCAGAGGAGGTGGGCTCTTGATCGCATTCGAGACAAGCGCCCTGCGACGGCGGGATTTGCTACGAGTAGGACGACCGCCTGGAAATGGCGCCATCGTGACAAGAGACAGCTCCATGACGAAGAAAGCAACCCTATCTTTAAAAAATACAGTCGTGGAGGGAAGATTTACACGCGCTGCTGCAATGTAATGCAATGCAATGCTGGTGGAGGAAGAGATCACCGCCTCATTTTGCATTGGTTGGAGCGGAATGTTTTGGACGACACAACTTGGAGAATGAGCTTCTCGAACCTCTTAGCTCCCGGGCCGGGACGAAGGACGGACGAATCGCCCACCGTCAGGCAAGGGTCCTCGCCACTGTCGGACGATCCCAAACACCAGCCTCCGGGCACAAAGCGGCCGGGAACGCGTCTCAGGAGCTCCTTGTCGATCTTGTCCAGCACCGGATCCTCTCGCGCGAATTTCCTCGCGAACGGGGCGCCGCTGCTGGTCATGTTCTTGAAGAGCTTGGACGTGAGCGTGAGCGGGTGCTGCTTCGGGGGGTTGTCCCACGCGATGTAGTGCAAGTCGTGGTTGACGGTGGTGTTTCGAAACTCCCGCGAGTTGCAGATGACCGTGTGGAAGTATCCCTCGGGTGAGGATATAAAGTTGGTGTAGTACATGAGCAGTGTCCTGGGAAGATTGTCCCATCCCATGACGGTATAGTCCACAAACGCTCGGGACAATCCCACCCACGCCGACCCTGACCAGAAAATCACACAAACAAACGTTGAGAATCCTGAAACCTCTCTTGCTTTGCTCTTGTGTAGATACCTGTGAAGAGTTTGAATGCGGTAGGAAGAGACCTCCTCTGGGTGGCCCAAAAAACATCGCTCTTTTTGTTGAGGTACAATCCGGGATCAACAATGAGTGGCTTCGCCCTCTGGAACCTGGAACCCCAGCCGCCAGGCCATGTCAGCCAGCATATAGAGGCAACAAAAAGCAAAACGTACTCTTTCCACCCGATGTCGCTGGTGTGGTCTATAAAGTTGAGATCCTTGGGCAAGTATGACAAGACATGAAGCAAATCTGGAGAAACCAAAGCCTGGTTGTCAATAAGCATAGGAATCTTTCAAGCCACGTACCGTCCTGGGTAACGAGGGGGTAATCCGAGGCGCTGAGGTTGATAAACCAGTCCCAGTCGGGGCTCTGGCGAAGAAGGATGGCGGCGGCATGGAGCGTGCAGGACACCATGGTCGGGCCTCGGTAAGTCACCAGGTTGGCCTTGCCAATCACATGCACGTTCTTGACGTCGCCGAAAGTTGGATCCATCTTGACATATCGCGCCAGCTCCACTCGCTCCCGGGGCGGCGCCTCCAGGTCCAGGTGCAGCACGTACTGGTTGCGCGGGTGGTAGAGCGCCTGCAGAACTCTCCGCATGCGGTTGCCATCGCCTTTGGTTCCCGAGATCAAGTAGGCCAGGCGCGGAGGTGGCGGGAAGTCGGACGCAGGCAGCTGGCGGATGGGGTCGCTGCCGGATTGCTGGGCGCGCTGTGGCTGCTGCTGCTCCACGAACAAGTTGAGGTGGGAGAGATTGGCTCGCCCAAAGTTGATGGAGGTGGCCAGGAACAAGGCGATGGAGACCAAGGTGCTGGCCACCAGTGGCAGCAGCCACTTCCTCTCCACAGCCGCCACCATCGGAGGGGTTGCCTTCTTCATGTCCGGGGCCCTCGCCAAAAGCTCACATGATCCTGCCTAGTAACCCGGATTAGAATTGGAGAGAGGATTTGCCTGCTTGCCGCGGGAGAGAGACTAGGAGATCCAAGCAAGATCTGGCTCCAGCTCCACTTCGAAACCCTGATCGAAGCCTAAATTCTTGCACTAACCGCCAAATGCAGCATGGACGGACGCATCACGGATCAAGGACGCGCACGCAGACCACCCCGAGACAAAGCAAAGAATCCGGCGCCTTGCATTTGTTGCCCCCCTCTGCTCTCTCGTCTCTCGCCCGCCATAGGCCCAGAGGTTGCTGCAAACAAAATCCGGCCGCACACGTGGCACGGGGGAGTCGCTCGCAGCCGTGGATTGTCAGCAGGATTTGGGTGTTCTGGGAATCATCTTGCTTGCGGGGCGCGATGGGGATGTTTTACATCCGCTCCGCAATAGCACTTGGAGCGTGACAGCCACCAAACACTCTTGTTCTAATAGCTCTTTGCTGTTTCATCAGTGGCAACAGAACGCAACAGAGAAAGGATTGGAATGGCAGCGTGGTCAGATAATTGTAGTCTGATTCAGGTCACCACTACGATTCGCGTCTGAATCAATGTATCATCACCCCACACACAGGGGAAGCGAGAGAGAAGGAGGCGGCGCCCAAGAAACCCTAGAGCGGACACAAGTGAATCTGGTTTTAGGGTTGAGGGTTTTAGCTTTAGGGATGTCTGGGCGCGGGCGAGGAGCATTTAGCCGCGGGCGTGGGCGGGGTCGCGGAGGAGGGGGGCGTGCCGGGCCGATCATCCGCGACGAGACAGGCGGGATTCTCACCGCGAGGAAGCTCGAAGGGCCGCCTCCTCTCTTTCCGGTTCGTCCGCCTTCCTTGCGGTTTAAGACGTTGATAAATGAGTTTTAGGCGGTAGAGACACTACCCGAGAGGCCGGATATCACACAGGGAAACAATGCGTTCCTTGTGGAGCGGAGGAGAACTCTCCACACATTTTGGAACGAGTCGGCCTATTACATCGAGGCTGTCGACAAAGACACTTGTAAGCGAGATTCTTGGCTTGCTACACCACACTAAGTTCTGTGTTTCTCCAGCTAGCGTGCCTTCGGATGTCGAGCGTTGCTTGAGTAGATCCAAGCCTGGCCCTCAGACCAAGCGAAAGTCCTTGTCGCTCTACCTTCAGCTCAGCTCCATGTTCTTCCCTGCAGAGTTGCTAGGAAACCGTAAGCCTTTTTCGTTTTCATTCCTTGCTCACTGGTGTTTTTCGGTAGAGAGAAAGAAAAGGAGGGAGAATGACGAAGAAGGTATATGGAATCTGAAGGGGAGCAGCAAGAGTGGTGAGTGTGTCATCATGTCCTCGCCAGTGTTTACGCTCCCATTCTTTCAGATCTTGGTCGGTTGGACAAGCTAGCGTCCCTGGAGCAGAAAGTTGGACAGGTTTGGAGTTTGTTGATCTCGCTGCTGCGGATGAACAGAGAAACGTTATATATTCCAGAAAGGCGATAAGGAAGCTGGCGAGAACAAGGAAGGGGAAGGTGCAGAAGAAGACGAGGAGGACCAAGACATAGCTTTTGATGACGAGGATGAATTCGAGGACGACTATGGGAAGGTGCGTGTTGCTCCCACCGAATTTTTCATTTTGTTTCTTGACTGTTCATCTCCAGAACGAGGAGTTCGATGACGACGAAGAGTACGACTTTGATGATGGTGGTGGCGATGATGGTAAGGCGTACAACTTGTTGCTTCTCAACTCCTGAATGGTTTTGTGTTCAACAGAAGGCCCTACGTACTGAGGAAGGAACAAATGAATGCATGAGGAAGAGAAGAAGGAAAAAAAAAAAGGAAAAGCTTCATGATTGAGTTACAATTTCAGGTGGCACAAAGGTATGCCTAGCAATCGCTTGGTTCTCAGCTTTCATTGATCGATTCATAGCTAAGCTATAAATATGCACGCAGGCGCAATATCTTTCAAGGATACAAAAGGTGGACATATCTGTGAGCTCGGATGAGAAACACTGCGGGGACTTCTAGTTGACGCTGATATCTCCGCTCATGCCAACGCCCTGATGGGGTTCGCAGTAGAAGCCGTAGGTGCCTTTGGTCTGCAAAGTCACTTTGTAGCTCTCACCCGGTGCATTCAACAGGTCGGGGTGGGACAAGGCGTCGGCATTGACACCCGAGGGAACCGCGTCCTCGTCGAAGATAATGTTGTGCGGGAAGCCAGCGTTGTTTTCGAAGATGACGGTGTCGCCGGCGCCAATGCTGATGTTCTTGGGGATGAAGGCGAGGGAGCCATCGTCGCCTCCCATCTTGACGGTGACGGACGCTGCCAGAGCCGAGGATGCCCCCAGGAGAAGCCCCGCTGACACTCCCACCATCACTTTGCCGGCTCTCTTGGCCACGCCCTCCATGGACGAGACGCAGACGAGCGGAGCTTGGTGCTGCACTGGCCTTGCATTGCGTGCGATGCTCGGCTTCACCACTTCCCCGGCCTTGAGCCCCACGAATGTGGGAACTGCGAGCTTTGATGCTGCAACCGACGACGCCATCTGATTGATAGCAAGCAAGCAAAACCAGTTACTTCCTCTTCCTCCCTGGCTTACTTCTTCTTGTTCTTCCCTAGCTTTACTAGCTACTGCTATGGAGTCGATAAAATGGGATGGCGTTACAGGTGGCGCAATCGGAGCCAGGAGGACTGGATAGAGAGTGCTCCAGTGCCTTGCTGCCACGTGTAAAGTGTATCTTGTGCAGCAAATGGGGCGTTGCCACGTAAGCAAAACTCTAACCTCTAAAACCAGATATAACCTTTAAGCTTGTACGAAACAAAACCCCGAGGACCTTTAAGCTTGTTCGAATCTCCCAGAAGCATATTCAAGGTGGTTCGCCATCATAAACGTGTAAGTGCCAGACTCTCCGTTTCAACTCTATAAAGGGATTTCTTGCGGGCGGGCAGAGAGATTCGCAAAGCAATGGGGTTCTGTGCGATCGTCGTCGCGCTAGTTTGCAGCAACTTGTTCATCATCGCGGGAGCGCAGAGATTCGATTTCTTCTACTTCGTTCTCCAGGCAAGTCCAATGCTAAAAACAGAGTATCTGTGACAGTAATTCGTTGCTGCGCAGTGGCCAGGAGCATACTGTGATCGGGGTCAAGCTGCATGCTGCTATCCAACAACAGGCAAGCCGGCCGAAGATTTTTCGATACACGGCCTGTGGCCTAACAAGGATGATGGAACTTGGCCCCAATTCTGCGACCCCTCCAATCCCTTTGAGCTGTCCCAGGTCAGTAGTACTCGATTGCAGTAACTATAAGCTAAGATCTCTTCGTCCATCAGATCTCGGATCTTCGTAGAGCTATGAACCGGGAATGGGGATCACTTGACTGTCCCAGCAGCAACTCCGTCGAGTTTTGGGAGCACGAGTGGGAGAAGCACGGCACCTGCGCCTTCAGGGACGAGCACCAATACTTTGAGAGATCGCTAGCGCTGCGGGAGCAAGTGGATCCCCTCGGCTACCTGGCCAGCGCTGGAATCCGCCCAAACAATCGCCTCTACAGCCTCCAAAGCATCCAGCTTGCGCTGGAAGACGGGCTGGGCCACACTATCGGGATCGAATGCAACCGGGATTCGTCGCGGACAGCGCAGCTCTACCAGCTCTACTTTTGCGTCGCCTCCGACGCGTCTACCATCATCGACTGCCCCGTCTTTCCCAACAGCAAGTGCACCACGCAGGTGGAATTCCCATCGTTTGGCCGAGGTATCAAACGTGATCACGATCATGAGATCGCCACCTTGTGACCAGCACCCGATGAAAGTGGAAATAAAAAGAAGCGAGAGGGGACCGTTTCTTGTCCCGCTCACGCAAAGGGGATGAATGAACGTAGCGAATCAATTCGGGGAGCATTTCTTTCGCTGCCTGAGAAAACAAATATTTCCAACCTGGGCATGAATAAACTATAATGCTTGAAGCGGTCAATGCGTGCATGCACACGCACGCGCACTGTGAGCTCGATCCGTCGTCATCGCCATGGGCCGCAGTGCAATAGCGGCGATCGCGATGGTGTTTCTGTCGCGAGGGATTCAGGGCTTCGACATGTTTCTCCTTGTTCTCGAGGCAGGCCAAGTCAAAAGTATTCTGCAAAGATCCTCGTAAGCTTTTCTTTTTTGGACGCAGTGGCCAAACGCCTTCTGTAGCATCAACCAGTGCTGCTACCCGCCGAGATTCGCTGCCAATTTTACGCTCCACGGCCTGTGGCCCGTCTCCAACGCCACATCTCTTCCGGAGTACTGCGACTCCACGCCATACAACGCCTCCCAGGTTTGCTCTTATTAGATCAGCGCTGCATGATACTTCCAGATCGATTGGCAACACAGATTGCCGACTTGATGCCCGAGCTTCGCTCGCGGTGGCCCTCTCTCACATGCCCGCAGAGCAACGGCGACGATTTCTGGGAGCACGAGTGGGAGGCCCACGGAAGCTGCGCCTTCGCGGATGATCACGACTACTTCGCCACGACGCTGCGGCTGCGGGACATGATCCACCCGCTGGCGGATCTGGGCGCCGCCGGGATCGTGCCCAATGGGAGCAGCTACGCCGCCGACTCGATCCTCCGCGCGCTGCACACGCGCACGATTCTCGAGTGCAGCAGCAGCGGGAGCAGGGATTACCCGCAGCTGTACCAGATCTACTACTGCGTCGACAGGAACGCCACCGGATTCGTGGATTGCCCAGCCGTCTCGTCGGAGGGGTGTTCTTCGCGCGTCGCGTTTCTAGGGCTCCCCACTGAATGATTCAAGGAATATCCGCCCCGTTTATTTTATAGTAGTTAATTAATCAGTCTTTGCTCTTCACTGCCTTGCGCAGCTTGTAGTCCTCGAGCTCGTCGAAGTAAATGTCCCATACGCACCTCTCGCAGCCACTCCCGCAGCAATCGCCTGGAAGCGGCTTCTCTGGAGGCGGCCCAAGATCCTCCTCCTCCTCCTCCTCCTCTTTCTTGGCCGGCGGCTGCTCCTCTTTCGATCCAGCCCCATCTCCATCAGCCTTGTTATGATTGTCCATACCGTTCCTCGATTTCCTGGATGATCTCGCTCGATCGCCGGAATCCCTGCCCTCGTTGTCGCCGCCGCGGCAAGGGGAGAAGCCGATCCGCCGCAAGAATGAAAGATGTGTCAGGAAGAGCATTGGAGTGACGCGCAGCATAAAACCTCCTGCTTCATCTAAGTGGTTTTGCCCTAGCCCTAAAATGCCAGGCAAGGCAAATGGAGACGAGGCAGAAGAGTCGCGAGGCGCGATTCGGATGGAAGAGCTACGCTCTTGCGGCGCTCGTCGCTGGAGTTGCTGTAAGCGATGTGATTCCTCGGCTGATCGATCGACGTTTGGTGTTCTCTTGACAGGCGACCAAGTTCCGGAGACTCAGACGGCCCTCTTCGTTTAACCAGGTATTGCTCGGGGAGCTTTTGTTTTTTCCTTTCTTATTCAGCTAGTCTCTGGGTTTTTTACAAGGAAGCCAAATGGTACGCACCGGATGAGTCGGATCTCCGGCAGAGTCATTTGGATGAGCTAGAACGGAGAGTAAGAAGCTCGCCTTTCCTTCTTTCTGTGAGGGCTTTCTTACACCTTTTCCTTCAGGAGCGTGTTGCTCGAATGCAGGGTGCCTACGACAGTTTGAAGTCTAGCTACAGGAATGTCCGCACGGCTAGATATCAGAAGTGGGAAGAGCATCCCCAACGGAATGAGGAGAAAGTTGATGAGGCCAAAACTAAAGAGCAAGCTGCTTCCAAGCTTAAAGAACGATCCAGGCTGCGGCACCACTACGCAGTGCTCGGCCTTGACCCGTAAGTTCATGTCTAGCTTGAGATTCTTTCACATTGACGACTCGTTTCTATATATCCAGATTTAGAGACGAAGCATTTTCTGAAGAGGAAATCAAGGTGAGACAAGTACTTTACGCGCTAAAAGCTAACCTTGTTTGGTTTGTCTCAAGATGGCCTTCCGAGAGCGAGCTTTGCAATTCCATCCAGACAAAAACCCCGACAAAGGTAAGAAAGAACTTCTTGGTAGATTAAATGTGACGAGTTCACTTTTGTACAGTCGAGGAGATGAGAGGAAAATTTAGAGAGCTGGTAGACTCTTACAAAACAATTAAATCCGAGAAGAAGATTATTTGATGCCAAAGGTTCTTCTTCTCTTTGTTTTTAATTGACCAAGTTTTGTCCTCCTTTTGCCATTTTTTCCTCGTGAAGTATTTGACCAGGTTATTCAAACAGGCAAAGAAAAATGCTGTGGGCAAGCTGCTTACATAATCCACTGAAGAGAGCAAGTTAGGTTTCAAAGATGGCGGTGACTTGGTAAGTATTCTCCTGGCGGAGTTTTATTATGAAGTTGATTCTTCTTCACATGCCGCAATCGAACATTTACAGGGTGAACGTTTTGTCTACGAATTTCAATTTGGAATCTTTTACTATTTGGCTACCTGGACTTGAGGTGCAGAGCTTCTCTTGTTTTGCCGAGCATGCTCAAGGCTGTGGCAGCAATGTGCGAGGATGTGAGTCCAGCCTCTGCCATTTGGTCCTGAGGTGATCCGTGGTCAATGTAACGGTCTGGAAGTACAATAGGCCTCCACTGCAAAGTCACAGAGTCACTTCGTAAGCTTTCCATAATTTTCGAAGCCAGCGTTACTTACTTTGAGCTTTCCATCCAAAAGACCGTCGAGCGCTAAGAAGTGAACAACATGAGATCCAAAACCACCAATCGATCCTTCTTCCACGGTGATGAGAACTTCGTGCTCCTTTGCGAGCTGCCTTACTAGCTGCTGGTCCAGAGGCTTGCAGAATCGGGCGTCTGCAACTGTGACAGATAAGCCGTGTTCTTGAAGCAGGTTACGGGCCCCCAGGCAGTTTTGTACCATGGTTCCGTAGCCCAGGAGAGCAACGCGGGATCCTTCAACCAGTATCCTTCCTTTTCCAATCTGGCGTAAACCTCAGAGGTCAGTTGGATGCTCTCGACTTGGATTTGCGGCTTACCTCAACCGGTGTTCCTTTGTTTCCAGCCGGAAGTAACGCTCCAATACCGTTCCCGCGAGGATATCTGAAGCACGATGGTCTGTCGTCGATGGCCGCTGCTGTAGCAATCATATGCATGAGTTCGGCTTCGTCAGCGGGTGCCATGACCACCATGTTTGGAAGGCAAGCCATGTAAGTGACATCAAATGCACCGCAATGTGTCGGTCCGTCTGCTCCAACGAGTCCTGCCCTGTCCATTGCAAATCTGACTGGGAGTTTTTGAAGGTCGACGTCGTGAACCACCTGCAAACCAAGTTGTTAGATGGCTGGTCCATAAACTCGTCTGTAAGCACGCACCTGGTCGTATCCTCTTTGGAGGAATGAAGAGTAAATTGCGCAGAAAGGCTTGATTCCTTCGCTCGCAAGTCCAGCGGCAAAAGTTACTGCATGCTGCTCTGCAATGCCAACATCAAAGCATCGCTCTGGAAACTGCTTCTGGAAGATGTTGAGGCCCGTGCCTCCACCCATTGCTGCGTGGATTGCTACGATGCTCTCGTCCTTCTGTGCCTCTGCAACAAGGGACTCTGCAAAGTATGTGGTGTATGCCTTGGTTGCTGGCTTTCCTTTTTGCTGCTTGCCAGTTGCAGGATCAAACTTGACAACTCCTGGAGGGTAACTCCTGTGTGTAAGTTCTCCATCGATGCAATCCTTTAGCTTCAAAACTCACCGTGATACTTGTCTGCAGCTCTCTCTGCGTAAGGATAGCCGCGCCCCTTCTCAGTGACAACGTGAATCAGGACCGGTCCAATTGTCTCAGCTGCCTTGACCTCTTTGAGGATGGCGATAAGATCGTCAATCCTGTGCCCGTCAACGGGACCGATGTAGTACAGTCCGAGTTCTTCAAAGAAAGTAGCTCCGGTACCACTGATCATTCCGCGAGCATATTCATCGACCTTGGCAGCAAGCTGGTGCATGTGTCCTCCGATTTGCTTGGTAACTCCCTGGTAAGGCGTAGGCGGTTTTCTTAGAAGTTAGATTCTGATTTTCGTACCTTTGCCACTTCGCGCAGCTCTCGAAGCTTTTTGCTCGACTGTAGCCTGCTCAGAGCACTGCTGAGAGCTCCAACTGGTGGAGCCGGGCCGTCCAGAGTTGCTGTTGGTAGTGAGACTTGCTTGTTGTCGTTAAGAATGACAATCAAGTTTGTGTCCAGGTATCCCGCATTGTTCATCGCTTCGTATGCTTGTCCGGCCGTCATGGCGCCGTCTCCAATGACTGCAATGACGTTGTTCTTCTTGCCTTGGAGGTCTCTTGCAACAGCCATTCCTGCAACGCGTAAAGGTCTCCAATTAGTTTTCGTTCCATCTTTCTAAAATTGAAGTTTTGACTCTACCCAGGCCAGCGGAGATCGTTGTCGAGCTGTGTCCGGCACCAAATGGATCATATTCGCTTTCGGAACGCTTGGTGAAGCCACAAATGCCGTCGGTCTGCCGCAACGTGTGCATTCTGGACCTCCGTCCCGTGAGAATTTTGTGAGGATACGTCTGCAACCGCACCGCACTCGAGCGTGTCAGTCAGATATTGCTGCATAGTGAAGGGACTTTTCGGATTCGCACCTGGTGGCCGACATCCCACAGAATTTTATCTTCCGGCGTGTTGAACACATGGTGGAGCGCGACAGTGAGCTCCACTACTCCCAGGCTGGATCCCAAGTGGCCGCCAGTCTTGGAAACAGAGAAGATGGTCTCATTCCGAAGCTCCTCAGCCAGCTGCTCCAGGTCCTGCTTGCCGGAAGACACATCTCATTAGCTGGCTGCAGGAAAAACAGATCGCGACTTACAGAAACTCCCAAGTTTTTCATGTGAAGTGGATAGTTGATGGTGTCCAGCAGTGGCGTCGGAGGCTTCTCGGAGAAGTATTCAGGTGCCTCGGACAGCGCTGAAGCTCGAACCACGACGTTACTCTGCTTCAAGGGGGAGCACGATCACGTCAGTCAGATGCAGATGCAGATGAGCAAAAGGGACGAGTACCTGAGAAAGCGGAGCAGTTTTAGCAAGCTTGGCTGCAGAGCCAAACTCTCGGATGCTTCCGGAAACATTGGACTTGAATGCCAAAGCCACAGAGCTGCTGCAAGCAGGAGAATTGAGCGAGTCTCGGCTAAGCTTGGCCGATACTTGCTGGGAGCAGATGGAAGCGCAAGCCATTTCGTTAAGCCGACAGAGTCCGAGAGAGAGAGTTGACACTGAGTCTTGGGAGAAGTGGAAGTGGGGGGACCTCTTTTATATTCAGCGATACCGCTAGGATTCTTCGAGGAAAACGAACAAGTGACTACAGTTAAATGGAGCAACAGACGGTCTAGTCGAGGGGAGGACCGGGCGCAATGAAACGAAGTGGCGGACTTGGTGCAGTCAATCCAATCCAAATCCTTTGGACGGTTGCAGCGAGAGAATGCTTCTTCCACTCACAGGAACATAAACACCAGCAAGAGGGGCGGCGATGGAACAAATCTCTTTCTTCCTGTTGGATACGTGGTAACGCGAGAGACAACAAAAGGAGCTTTTTGTTACTAGTGCTCGTCGCGTTGTCGAGATGTGAGCGGCAGGCACTAGACTAAACAATGGAGATAAAAGACTCGGGGCACAGCTCATGGCGACACGCATATAATTTATATTCGGAAGAAAGACGAGACACAACAGATGTTCTTCGATAGACTGGGGAGTTAACGCACGGTCGCCCATCCAAGAAAAAGGGAGAATATTGCGTGCTCCGTGTGTAGATGGCTTTGCAATGCGACTGAGTCGAGTCGGCTCATAATTCAATCGCTACTGATCGTTCAACGCAGGCCTACTGCACTGCACTGGTTGGTTGGTTGGCGGATGATTTTCGCGGGTGGTGGTGTTCTAAGCTTTGAATTTCTTGCATCGAGGACGAGCTACAACTCAACCTTCACATCAGAGAAAGAGAGGTTTCCAAGTCTTGAGCCACGTCTCTTATCCTTCACGGTCCATGCATGGAACACCTTTTCGATAGAGCCAACCAAGAATGTTTTCCATGCGCCAAAGACTGTCCACGAGTATTAAGTGGCCATGTCTAAAGGGATGATTTTCGAGGGTGGTGGCCCTCTAAGCTTGGATTTCTTGCATTGAAGACGAGCTACGCGAACAGGAGCTAGTCTTCTTTTTGATAAACAGAGCTTATAAACCAAAAACGTTTTCAAAGACTGTCCACGAGAATACAGATAAACTAGAAAAGAAAAATACGTAAGTGGCCATGGCGGCCTTCCTCGCTCGATGCTTGGACAGCACCAGGTGAGCCGTGAGGTTTGAGCCCAGACGGGAATGACTCAACGCATTGTGAGTCAGATCAGCGAGGAGCCTGGCGGATGAAGTTCGCATCGTGTTGACGAGGAACAAGCTTGGTCGGCGAGCAGTCCACCACATCCTCACGGCTTCCGAAAGAAAAGTGAGTCTTCTATCGGGTCTCCTCCTGGGGCCGAAACAAACTACTGAATGTTTTCGAAGGCCTTCGAGATTGCAAAGAGAAATGCTCACCTGGTGCGCTCGGCTGGAGCTCGCAAGCAGCCCTTGGCCGACACTTACTACAAGTACTGCCAAGCACTCCAGTGGCCTTACATTTTCATCCATCGGGTAACACTCGTGTCGTCGCCATTGCCACTCCTCCAGTTGTTTTGTCGCAGGACAGCATTGGTGGGGATAACCTGGTTGTCGTCGACTTGAGGACTTTGGGACTGTCCGACGGCCGCCTGGAACAACTAGTTACCTTGGTGGTCGCAACTCTGGGGCCTCTAAATGACGAGTGCTGGCATCAAACACTACAAACTGCATCTGAGATATTTGTTGGCTTGCCTACAAAAGAACCGGATGACAAGCCGTTAGAATCTGGCAATGAAGATCAAGTCATACCCAGTTTGAGGGGAATGTTGCGCTTCCAGGGGACCTTTGGCGAGACGAAAAATATGTGCCGAGCATCACTGGACATCTGCCATTCGTTTCTGGTAGACAATGGCATCGAACTCACAAAGCCATGGTGGACAGTAGACTGAAAACCAAGAGAAAAGGATGGCCGAGGGGGTAGCAACAAGTTTTAAGCAGGAAAAGAAGGTACAGCTCACGTTCTACCTAGTTATCAGACCTTTCATCCTGATACGGGGCAAACAAAATTGACGAGTTGTGTCCCCCAAATCCAAAAGAGTTCGAGAGCGCAACTTTCACATCAAATCGTTGCTTTTGGCTTCCCACAATGTAGTCCATATTCTGCAGCGAAATTCTTTCAGGCCAAACAAAACATGGAAAGCAAATGACGGACGAAAACGCACCACATCTTTCTCCGGATTCTCGATGTTTATGGTGGGATGCAGCCAACCTGTTTTGATAGCCTGCATTGCGGTTGCGTGTCAGAAGGAATACGCAACACACTGCTTTTGAAAAGAGCACCTGGATAGTGGCTATGGCATCTACCGCTCCTGCAGCTCCTAAAAGGTGACCCATCATCGATTTCGTTGAATTGACTCTCAACTGCAACCGCAAGATCTCATGACACGTCCAGATGAGTCATTCAAATAAATACCTCAGTGTTGTCGCCAAGGGACTGCATTATGGCTTTGTACTCTTGAACATCTCCAGACCTTGTCGACGCGGCATGAGCATTAACATAGTTGACATCGTCCCGTCTCACGCCGGATTGGTCCAGCGCCTTTTCAATGCAAAGAAGCATTCCAGTGCCTAAAGACAGGAAGAAAAATGTCACTCTTTTCTTTCCACGAACCTTTGAATTTACCTTCCGGATGAGCTGCAGTCACATGATACGCATCACATGTAAGGCTTCCGCCGAGAAATTCAGCATAGATTTCTGCTCCTCGTCTCTGGGAAAACTCCAATCATGTTCTGGAAAGAGGCTTTGCATTGTCACCAACCTTTGCATGCTCCAGTTCCTCCAGAACAAGGGCGCCTGCACCTTCTCCAAGAACAAAGCCATCCCGATCCTGGACAATGAAACTCAGATAAGTGTCCTACACGAGACAGAGCGAGAAAGTTACCCGATCCCAGGGACGTGACGCTTTACTGGGATCGTCATTTCGCTGTGACAGTGCTCTGCAAGCGACAAATCCTCCAAGACCTGAGGAAGGTGTCAAGACATCAGCACAATTCAGCGCACGTAATACCAATTGGAATGATCGCCGCATCCGACCCGCCGGAGACCATGACGTCCTGAGTAAAGAAAAGATAAGCAGACGAGCGACAAACTTCAACGCCAAAGGTGCTTACCGCTTCCCCTCGAATGATGTGGTTTGCAGCACTTAATATACACGAATTGCTGGTAGCACACGCCGTCGAGATTGCATAGTTTGGACCCATCCATCCCTGTGCGGTTTTCAAAAGCCACATTAGTCAACGACGCAACGTCACAGTTACCAGATCCATGGCCAGCATTGCTGAACCCATGTTAGTCGTAGCAAATGGGACACAGAACGGGTTCATCTTGCGGTACGAGACCCTCAAAGCTTCGATGGCATCGTTAAAGACCTGGAATTTTCGGATATCCATCAAGTCCAAACAAACAAATGCATCCAAAGGCAGGAATATGTGAGGGATGTACCTGCATGCCGCCCATGGCGGACCCCATGAGAACTCCACACTTGCTCTTGTCAAGCTCCACTGAGCCATCGCCAGCGATTCCAGCATTGGCCACCGCTTTTTTGCCAGCGGTAAGGAGGTAAAGCATGAACTTGTCCATGCGTCTCGAAAACTTTGGAGCAACCCAGCCATCAGCAGAGAAGTCCTTGATCTCTCCAGCAATCCGCTGCAAAGAAAGAAAACGAAGAAACTCTTAATTGACAAAGTCTCCGGAAGTGTCTGCCTACCGTGGGAAACTCCTGGCAGTCGAAGTTTTGGATCTCCGAGATCCCGCTGTTTCCTTCAAGCAGGTTGTCGTAGAAGGTATCTGGATCATTACCAAGAGAGGAAACAAGACCCATTCCTGTGATCACAACCCTTCTGTCTCGAACGGAGGTGCTGCTCCTACTCTCCTCGCCCGCATCCTTTTCGGGAGCCACGAGTCGATCTAGAAAACAGAGAAGAATCCGGCTATGAGAAAAAAAAAACACGAAAACAAAAGAAGATTCCTATGCATGCATCAGCATGCAAGCGCTGCATGCCCCAGCAAAAGAAGAGCTAGAAGGAATCGAAGAACACCAATTCTACCTGTGATCGCAGCGGCGCATCTCGTCTTGCTTGCCCTCTTTCGCTGAGGGGAGCCAAGAATCCGCGCTTCTTCCTCCCACAAGAACGATGACCACTTGGCATTGCGATAGTGAGGGCAAGCCTCGAAAGAGAGGCACGCGACCATGCTGCTCCCCATGGTCCCCGCCGCTGCCACAATCCGCTGGTGCAGCATGGCGGCGCTGCGAGATCTGGCGCTCCGCCTCCCGGATCTCCTGCTGCTGCTCACCCTGCCTGTCAAGCCTGCATTGGCGCCCGGCTGCTGCTCCATTCCAGAGATCCCCGCCATTGTTCTTGTGTAGCATGCCGCGAGCAGCCAGCTACACAGCGGCGCGGAGACGGTGAGAGGAGTGCTCATCGCGCCCCCTTCGCCGCGGGTTTAGGGTTTAAAGAGCGAGGGAGCCATGTATAAAAGCTTTCACTGGATTGCGATGGTCCGCCACGTCACTAGTTCCACGTCGGCACTTCCAGGTCATCCGGTTTTAGGGTTCTTGGGGGCTTTGGCGACAAGCCAATGGATTCCAAGGTCTCGCAGTACTTGGCGACACTCAACAGCGAGGCAGAGGAAGCTCTCAAGGGATCCGAGACGGATTTAGGCGTGACCGTCGACGATCTATCGGGCTTTTGCAGTCAGCTGGTGTCCGATGAGGATTTCGCCTTCGCCGCCTCCGCCGTCTTCGACAGGGATACAGGGATTTTCTGCGTCGTCGACAGGCTCAGGATTTCTCGGGAGAGGAGCGTCCACAAGGCGCGGGAGAAGTGCCTGGTGTTTCTGGGGGAATTTGTGCGAAGTGTCGGCCCGGAGCGAGCCTCCTTGTATTGTTCCTTGATCAAGGTACGACTTTTGGAATGCAGGCCACTCTCATCTTGTGTTTTTGTCTTCCAGGAGAATGCGCTGAGAATACTTCGCATTGACGAGACGCGATCGGTGCAAGCAGCTGCGCTGGCTCCGATCATTTCCTTGTTTGAGATCGGGGTTCTTCGGGCTGGCAACGCTACGAGCGACGGATTGATGGACTGGAAAGTTGCTGAAATGCTGCTAGCGGAGTTTCGGAAAGCTAAAACTTCTGGTTCTTGTAAGTGGGAACACTTACACCTTGTTTGCTTTTGCTCACTCGTCTTGATTGGTGATCTTTGCAGTGAGAGCAAATATACTCATCACACTTGGCTACTCAATCGAGCTCTTTCCATCTCTTTATGATGATGGCAATGTGAGCACTGTTCTCCGCCTTTGTTTAAATACCCTGGAAGAACAGCTTAAGCAGTCCGGGAAAGATGTCACCTTCGTGCTCATTGCAGGTGCCGTCAAGTGCCTTGATTCGTTGCTTCAGTGGTTCGATGACACAGTGCCGGCTGGTGGTACGCAACTTAATTCTGTCGAGCATTACAATACGTTCTTGTCTCTGACTTCCTTTCTAGGAACTATTGAGAATTCGAAGAGAGCGTATGCTTATCTGGAGCAAGTTCTCTACTACAGGGAAGACATGAAACGATACGAAATGATTCGAGGTAACTTGGTCATTACTAGGTGCTGTGGTAGCCATGGCATTTTGCAGCTGGATTACGGCTTCTCGCAAGACATGCATGGCGTTTTCGACTTGCGCTTTTCAAGAACAGTGGAGATTTATTGAAGTGGCTGCAAATATATTGGTATGTTGCATTCTCTCTTTTCTTTGTTAACATTTTCGTTTCTACTAGCCTACATGGCAATGCTAGTTTAAGATCGGCAGCCTTACCTGCATACGACCAGTTTGTATCACAGGTCTTGATTTTGCTCCCTTTTCCTCTCAATGACGACGCTTTGCAGATCTCGAGCTGCTTGATCTCTGATGATCGCCGAATAGAAGATCCGGACCGAACCTACAAGGTTATTCGTAACTTGCGTTTCCGATCACGGCTTTGATGAGCTTTTCCTGCAGGCATTAATGAAGCACATGCTTGACACACTTGAGTCCAGGCAAGATAACCCGAAGCTTGTATCGCTGGCTATTCGGGGCATCGGAAAGCTTGCAGGACCTATCGTAAAATATTCTGGGAAATCTGATCTTGAGAAAGCCTTTCAAAGACTAGTCCCTTTTGTTGGAAGTTTCTCCAGGTTTATGCATTGTCTATCTCTTTTATGTTTGTCTAATGTCATCTATCTTTATGCAGAGGTGGTGATAGTCATGAAGAATTAGGATACGCGGTGACCGTAGTAGGTGCATTTGCGAATATCGTTGTATATATTGACCGGGTGGAAGATTTCATGGTTTCATTGATTACCGAGGTGGGTTTGTTTTGGTAATATGGTCATTCTTTATGGCCTTTTCTTCTTGTTTTGTGCAGGTTACTGGTCGTATATTTTTCCAGTACCCTTCCTTATTTCCTAAGCAACGGGTGGCAATTCATAGCACCATCAGCAGTCTTTTAAAGGCTTTGTATCCGAAGGGGAATCTTTTTGTCATGTTCCTGATGAATGTTGGTGAGTACGCTGTGTAAAAGTTGACGTGAATCGACTTGTGTTTTTATCCTTGCAGTATGGTCTTCTCTTGATCGTGCAACAGATACGGATCCGGCGTCAGATTTCTTGTGGAAGAGCTATTGTGACCTTTGGTGCCAGATCCTGACGAACATTTCCGAGCCATCACATACGGAAAACTTACAAGATGATGATGGCATTGTGGGCGTCGATCTCGCGGTGTTAAGCGTGAATGTTTCCGATCTTAAAACTACAATTTTCGACTCGTTAATCCGTAGTATTATGAAGCTGATGATGGAGCTCAACTTAAAGTATAGGGTCAAAGACCTGAACAAGGCAAATAGCTCGGAATTTTCAGGTACGCATGGTTGCCCGGCATTTCCTCAAAACTTATTGAGTAACAGGACAAGAGCCGGAAGCTGAAGCTCCTATAGAACCGTTGGACAAAAATCAGATGCTGAAATATCTGAACTTGGTATTGAACTACCTGGGAGGTTCTTTTGTCCCGCTGACTCTTGTTTCTTATTTCTTTGTAGGTGGATTTTGTTCTTCGTCTGTTCGCAAGGTATTTACTTACTTCCTCTGATTTCCTGGCGTTTTATCTTTTTCTTATAGTGACCATGCGTCTTTGATGGAAAAGTGGATTTTTCCGTTCTGTCGATGTTTGATCGATCTCTCAAGGAAATATCCTCTTATAAGCGGATTCTACAAGCTTTTGGCTGCTGTGATTAGTATTGGTGATCAGAAAGGCTACTTCGAGAAAGACCAGGTACCGCTAAATCTCTTTTCTGGGCTTTATTCTCAGGTTATTTTCTGTGCAGTCTTCTCATGTAATGATCCAAGAATTTTTACACGAGGTCCTAATCACTAGCAGGCGCTATAAACTCGAGCTTCTTGGTTCTTGTCTTCATCTATGTCTCTCGTGCCCTCCGACCCTTCTAGATCTGGCATCAATAGTAAGGCCCTTGAAGCTGGCATTAAAAATTGGACTCAGATATCCTTTTTGAGAATTTTCTTTCGATCAGTCTTTTGTCCTTAACTTCCAGCCACATATCATCCTTTGGCAAATATTGCGCTGGATTCTCTCCAGCGGTGGTATAACTTGCATCCAAAAGAACTACAAAAGCAGTTACAGGACATAGTCCCCTGTCTACGAGACTATTTGTTTGAAGTAGCGGACTCCAGAAAGAAGACCATGGATTCTAAAACACTGAAGCTTTTAGAAAAAGAGAAAACAAAGGTACTTGCTTCTTTGCATAGTCGAGATTTAATTTTGTTTGCAGGTTGTTACATTCGAAGATATTCAAGTTCGCGTTCAACGTTTTATTGGTCAAATAGGGGCATATGGTCATTTTCTTGTTCCTGACGCGAATCTTTTGCAATCTAGCGGGACGGGAGGATTGTCCTGGGACGTGGTGGATCGTATTAAGTTTACAGTACCTTTAAGAGATGAGAAGCTGGACATTTGGCTTGGTAAGAATAAAAAGTACTGGGTATGTCATTAATTGTGCTCGTAGACTGTTTGCTTCCCAGGATTGTGGAATTGGCCAAATCTTCCAGCGACCGGAAAATTAAAGTACTCTCGTCTGAGTTGCTGCATGCAATGTGTTTGCTTATGCTGGGAAATGCTGCAAAAGGCCCATTACGAACCAGAAATGACGAGACAAATCTGGTAAGCGAACATAGTAAATCGTCTCTTTCCTTATCGAGTTTCTTGTTCAGGGAAACTATGTGCAACTTTATAGAAAGCTTTTTCCTTCTGTTCTTTGGCTTGCGACAGATGTTGAACCGGTAATAACTCTCTAGCTTGTATAGTTCGAAATTTAATCACGATATCGTTCCAGGTTACGCAACAACTTTTCAGTGAGTTCGCTATGCAGTTGATTCATTGGATGACAAGCAATACTCAAAAGGAAAATCCGGAAACTATGGCCCTCTTAGACGCTATACTTGAAGGACTTGTCGACGCTGAAAACGGTTCCATGAGGTGTGTCAATAAGTGTTTCGCTTTTTCTTTTAGTTCATATTGTCCTCCTTGCAGAGAATTATGCTCTCGATGTTTTAGCGAGTTCTTGCGTTGGTCAATTCGGCATGCTCCTCCAGAGGTTTGACAGTTTTTAGCAGTTTGAGACATGATTGTGTTTCGTTTGTTTCAGGCTAGTAACTTTGTGAATGTGACGTCTATGCTACGTCGCCTGTACAATCGTATGGACCATCCAAGTCCTTACCATCGACTTGGTGCATCTATGGCTGCCTATCAAATTTATCCTATCCTGCGGCAGAACTCATCCATTGTGGACCGCTACATTTTTGAGCTTGCATTTTTCCTCCTGAAATCTTTACGCGTGGGTGATACGGATGCTGAGCAGATTGGTAAGGGAAAAATAAGAGAAAGCCTAGTTTACTTTGCTTTTTGTGACAGGAACAATAAAGCAAGCATATAAAGCTCTGGATGGCATTGAGAAGCTTATTGTGCGAAATATTAGTTTGCTTCAGAAGAATAAGAAGGACAGAGTGCTATTCTGTACCTTGGAAGACTTCATGACGTGGCTGTTCGAGCAAACAAAACTTAGTCACGAGAGGTGTCGCACGAAATGTATGGCCTTGTTATCTGCGGTTTGTTCTGCCTTGCCGGGTATGTAACATTTGTTGTGAGTGTTTTGTTGAGACATCTTTAATGGCTTTGCAGGAGGATCGTGCATGCACTGGTTTCGCGAGAGGTTCACTGGCACCCAGCGCCTTCATATGTTAGCAGGTTTATTCGAGAAACTGCCTTCGAATATATTCACTGCAAAGTCAATGCCTGAGCTTTCGACAGCTTTACATTCTCTACACTGGTACCTAGGAGCTCAAATGATAGGTTTGGAGGAGATTGAACCGCTCAGAACGCAGATATTTTCTCGGATCAACCAGTTTGTAGAAGAGCTCCCTGCAAGGTGCATTCCTCTGAAGGAAAATGATAGTGCAATTCTGCATCTGATGGCTCTTTTCAAGGACATTATACAGATGGGAATAGGGGCGAGTGAGCCTTCATCAGTTGAAACACCTTCTCGTGATGACAAAGAAAAGCTTCTAGCTGAGATCCTGCCGCTTCATTATGACAAGCTACAGCACCTATTATGCCTTCTGCTATTTAAGCCATCAGAAATGACGACTTTCACACCAGAGTCATCGGGTGCAGAAGAGCTTCGCATGCTTGTTTCGAGCGTTCTTTGGTCATTGACACGTATATCGTCTGGCTTCAAGGATGGTTTAGTACAAGTTCTTCGGGAGATGCTCAACACGTCCTCGGAGTTTGATATCTCAACGCTTGAACTTCATCAGATCACGGAAGGCAGACTCTCTCAAAGTATGAACCTCGTAAAAGCGTATCAGCATTTGCATACTGTGGGAGCCTTGGTTCCCACGCTGGGGAAGGAGAGGTCGGAGCAGCTCAGTGAACGGCTCTTGCATACAGTATACACCATCAGCAAAGAACCAGTATCACCGTTGGCCGAGCCACTTTACGTGGAGATTATACGACTGTCTGTAGCATTACGGGTAGTAGTGGACCAACTTCTTCGTATTGTGTTGGACAAGAACGGGGACACAGTCGACCGTGGCACCGACAGTGTAACTCCAGGAGGTAGATTTTATTTAAGCTTTCGAAAGGTGGTGGTCCAGCAAGTGAAGTTCTTCTACAAGAAATGCCTACCCGTCCTGATGAAGGAGTCCGTGAGGAATGAAACGGCCAGGCTAATCCTTCATGCTGTTCTGGACGAGTATCAAGGTGAAACGATAACAAAAGGAAGCTTTGTGGGGGAATTTCTCTTGCACCTTACGGAACTGCGACCATGCTATTTGGATGGTAGCTCTGTCACGGACAAACAGTTTATTGCGGGTATTATTCACAAGCTCTTGGTGCTGGATAAAGCTTCAGTTGTCGGTGGCTCTCAACCGGCGTTCCAATTTATTCTGGAGGTGCTGTTCGCGTTTTTAAGTGCTACCACACTTGGAGTTTGGAGCGAGTGCGCAATGCTGAGGAAGAGTGCTCTATTGCTCGTCCCTTTTTTCCTGGAGGAGTCCATGGACTCAAGCCTCCGTACCCGGCTGATCGGTAGCTTGACATCTCTTGTAACCAGCCATCTTCTGGTAAGAGAAGCTGACCTTCCTGACGGTTCTATGGAGAGAACAGACTATCTGGGGACTCTCGACCTGCTGATCGGTGCGATAGTGTCGTCGAGAAACTTAGACGCTCTGGAGGTTCTATTTCCGCTTCTTCAGAACCCGACAGGCCTCACAACGCCACCACTTTCTGAAGCGCTGCGAGCTTATGCACAGAATATTGGAGACAAAAGAGTTGCTGCGTTCAGCTATTGTATGGACGTTTTGAAAGATGCAACCAAACTTCCCAGGCTCAGAAAAGCAGTGCTGGACTACTTCTTCGTTCCTCTGATCTGCTTGTCTCCGGTTGACACGCTTACGGGCTGGTTCACGCCTCGTGTAACCGAGCTCATGGATTCTCTCGGTCGGACAGTAATGAGTCCAGACATGGAAACGGAACAGGAGCTTTTACTTGCAAAGATATACAGCTATACACTTCTGGAGCTGCTGTTTACTCAAGTTGACAAGGAAAGGATCACATTCTCTTATCAGCAGTTGATGAAGTTTGCATCGAATGACACCCGTGGGAAGAACGATCCTAGAGTCTATCCGTTTCAAGAGAATGTGAGCTTTTGGCGTGATCTACACGTATCGGCATACACCTGCTTGGCGGCCGTGGTAATGTGCACGCAGAAAGACGAGAAGATCTTCAATCTGCTGTTCAAAGACGCTGGAAATCCTCTGTGGCAACACCTCGTCGACTGCAGCAAAGTTTACAGTTCTTTTCCCGTTCAAACGAGCACACTGGTTGAGAGCCATGCTATCGTGAAGGGAATCCGAGCCATGATCAAGGGACACGGGCCACGCCGTGGAACGTCTTCCATGACACTCTCGTCGCAGTATCTTGTTGGAATGAGCACGAGCCAAGAACCGACTGTGATCAGCAGCTTTGTCGGGGACAACAGTATGGCATCTTTACCAGAGACTGATGAAAACGTAGAGCAAGCAGCAAACGAACAAACGGAGGAACACGTCGAGTTTGTGGCTCTGGATCAAGACGATTTCGATCAGCATCCATGCATGGGAGTTATCCTCAGGCTTATCGATCATTTGCATTCGAGATTTGGAAGTACAAGCAGCCAACAGATGCCCGAGTGGATGAAATCTATCCATGCAACGCTGGAGAGCAGTTCAACTCATGCAAACGTTCGGTTGTTTTTGGGGAAGGTGGTGGTGAAGGCCAGGAAAGTCTTTGCCAGGTTCTCAGACACGTTCTTCCAGCCGCTAGTGAACGTCATTCTTCACGACCCGCCAACTACAGGAGGTTTCTCCTTTCACTACGTCCTTCGTGACATCTCAATCACAATTCTTCAGTGGGATGTCAAGGAGCCGACGGATAGGCACACTGCTTCGAGGTTTATTGATCACTTGATGGCAGTAGCAGCGCACGAGTCAAGCCAGGTTTTAAGAGCGAATGTGGAGATCATCAAAGCATTTATACAGCTCTGGAAGGACCGCGTCAACATTGACGGAAGGCTGATTCTAAAGTATCTTCAAGCTGGAGGCAAAAGCACGAACACTTCAGACAGGCAGCTCGCTATTCAAAAGTCCGTGGGGCTGCAGCTGTTTGCGACAGTGGTGTCGTCCTCAGGATCAGTAAACCAAGGACTCGAGAGGCTCGCTGTTGGACGCGAGGATGTCTATGAGACGCTTCTGAGCAATCTAAAGCTAAAAGCGAAGGAAGTGTTTGCGGCTTCCGCGGACGTGCTTGGGATGGTATTAAGAGACAAAAGCGAGGATACAGACTTATCCGCCGTCGAGAACAAGTTCAAGCAGTTTTTCGTGTCAACCTTCAAGGAAAGAAACTACAGCAAGTGCCTTGTCATATTGGACCGCTTGACTTCCAAGTACCCTCCTTATGTTGGAGCTTACATTCATGTGCTGATCGACTTGCTGCCTCGGTTGCATGGTCCTTCAAAGACAGTTGCGCTGGATATCCTACTTCGAGATCCGGCCACAGCCAACAGCTACTTCAACATGATCGTCTCTTTTCTCTCAAAGCTTCTTCGTCACCGCGATCCAAAAGGTCAGCTCCGGTCGCTACAACTTTTTGCGGAGGTGGTGAAAGGGGAGGCCGACCCGAATAGCACTCAAAAGGTCGTTTTGGAGACTTGTGATGCATTCGTGCATTACGAAACAGAGGAATGCCGCTTGCAGTTCTACCAGATGCTTATGTTTCTTTATGAAACGAAGAAGCTGCCGCACGATAGCAGGATCGCTCGATTTTTGGTTCTGGGATTGTGTGATGTGGCCGACAGCGTGCGACAGAGTCTGCAATCATTCTGGGATGCCCAGCTTCCGGAAAACATGATGGAGCGTTTCAGTCACGTCCTCAACAACATGCACCTTCCGGATATCGAGAGCCACTGGACTTCGTTTACAAATGTTTTGCTGCTCAAGGTTTGTCATTTTGCCATTCGCGATCTTGTGACTAAACCTTTTCAAACTTGCAGCTGTGCCAGAGATCAGTGGACTACCGACGTCCTATCTTTAATGCTCCTCTCTCCGATTGTGAGTTTCAGGAGCGACAAATTGATTCCTCAGCGGTGGGGGGCAGCTTGCCAATGACTCCCCTATTCTCGGAAGCAGGATCACTTCGCTCTATGAAAGAAAGTCAGCTTGCCGAGGCTAATGCATCACTGGCTATTGTCAACCATGGTCGTGGAGGATTGATCCGAGCAACGGCATCATACACCCCGTCAATGACAATACTTGAGGGCAGTGACGAACCTGGACAGACTCAAAACGCAGCGGACGGATCTCAAAACGTGGCGGTCGTTGATCCTGTCACAAGGCTGAACCGGCGTTTGTACCACGTCAAGGAATCCCGCGCTGGAACGCTGAGAAACGTTTTTAATGCAACAAGGAAACGCAAGGCCTTGCAGTCAACTGAAGCTTTTGAACGTGCCAACAAGGTCCAGATCATGAGGCAATACCGTACAGGTGCTTGAATCTTCGTGTTGTAACTTACTTCATTGTTCTTCCGTGTCTACAGGTGAACTTCCTGATATTGAGATCAAACACGAAGACATTATCGGCCCCATGGGGTCACTGGCTGAGCGGGACGCAACGTTTGCTAGACTTTTACTATCGAGTACCTTCGGGGCCTTCTGGCAGAACGATGTTACGACAGTGAAGACTGAAATCAGGACAGGCTTTGAGAACGCGCTAGAACGAACTCACAGCGAGAGCACATTGGTCGGGACAATCCAGGATCTCTGTTTAAAAGATAGAGACGCCTGGATAAAGCCAGAAGTTGCCGGTTCCGCGAGCTACAACTCACAGAATTTCCATTCCGGCATTCTGCTTCTGGAAAAGCAAATTCTTCATGGGACAAGACCGAACCTCAACGCTGCAAAAAGACACAGAGGGCCATCGGTCCAAACCTCTCAAGATAATGCAGTTACAGAAGAAGCATGGCTGGAACTTGCACGTCTTTACAACGCGATTGGAGAGGACGATTATGTTTTATCACTCTACCTGAACCGCCTCACGACGCAAAGTATCAGCCATCAGGCGCTGGAGTCCCAGGTTCGAGGAGATACTGATCGAGCTCTAGTGCTCTATGACAAGGCTATCAACGGTACGTTATGCTGTTGTTTCTCCTTTTTTATATATATTTGCTTCGTATGCAGAGACTCCAGAAGGCACTGCTTCCAAAGTCGAGGAAGACTTGTGGTACAATCAACGACTGGCGTGCCTCGTCGACTTGACCCGCTGGGGCGAAATCATGGAAGACGCTTTATTGCAAGTGAAGAATGATGAGACCGATGAGTATGACCTGGAGAAGCTCTGGCATCCGAAGCTTCAAGACCCGTACTTGGGACTCTTCGTGAAAGGAGCGTTAAAAGTTCCTACACATCAATCTTTGCTGACGAAATTCCTGCAAACGTCTTTGGTGGATTCCACCAGAAGGGACGTCCTTCTGCAACGATTTGGCACACAAGTCGCGGCATCTGCGGTTTTCAACGACGAGATCGATCATGCTAGATGCTACTTGGCCGAATGTTACAAGACTTTCAGGAAGAGGTGGTCCGCTCTGCATCCTCTCGCGACTGGCGCTAGGCGACTGCAAGTTCGTATCCTACAAAGGGCTGTGGAACTGGAGGAGTTTGTCGATTTTTCTTCGAGACCAGACCGGTCGAACATTTCAAGGTATACTTCATTCCGTAATTTTCTGCTTGCTAAAATGTTTTGGCAGGCTATTGAGCAAATGGCGCCAGCGTTGGCCCTCAACCGAGAGAGATGACGTCGTAGCATGGGATGATATACTTCAAAACCGACTGGTGTTTCTACAGAAGCTCCAGGGCCTGTTTAATACTACACCAGAGGCTAAGGCTGACCAAGCCAGGCAGAACTTCACCAAACAGCTTGACGAGGAGCGTGCCTTTGGGTTTCTTCAGGCTTCCAGGGGAGTGATGAAACAGGGAGCCTACTGCGTTGCACAGGTGAGGAACTAATATACCTTTCGATTTTTGTCAAGTATGAATTCTGATCATGTTCTTCGTAGAAATATATGGACGAATACGTGGCCGTGGCAGAGAAAACAAGCTTCAATCCCACCGTTTTTAAACGGCTGGTCAAGCCTCGTTGTCTTCAAGCACTTCGCACGTCGGAAAGGGATCCAAAGAGTGCCGCAGCAATGCTAGAACAGGTTCTTTGCTTTCTATCGAATTTTCTTTTAAAACGTTTTTTCTTTTGTGCACCAGGTGCTGGACTACGTTCGTAAGCAGGCAAGTAAGCCCAGCATATCGGGTTGTGATGACTGGCGCAGAGTCACTATGCTGGTGGAGAGCGACACTTCCGCGCAGCTCGGCCGAACGAAGCTGGACCTTTTGATTGACAAGGACTTGGATACGAACGCTCTAAGCCAGTCCATGGCTCTCCTTGGTTCTGCTTACAAGACGTACTCAGAGTTGCTCCGCAATGCCGACAGTGTGCCACCGTCTCGTGAAATGGCCAGGACATCGTTCAAGTTTGCATGCTTCTGCGATGATCTTCTCAACACGGCAGACGACTCCAAGTGGAAGAGTGAGGTCAGGAGGAGCATTCAAGACAGCAGGCAGTCGTTTGGAGTGACAAGCTTTTCGGTGTTTCGGGAAGCTATGGTGACGAACATGCTGCGGACATTGTCGATGGATGCTTCAGTCGGGCCTCAGCTTGCAGTAGCCAGGCTCATATCAATGGCTGGCCACCAAGAGATTCAGGCAATCTTCTCGGCCCGGATTGACAAGGTTCCAAGCTGGATCTTCCTGGGATGGTTGCCACAACTGCTGGCTTTGATGGACTCGAGAGAAGGCGGCCTTTTCATTGGGATACTGGAAAGCATTGCGCAACACTTTCCACAGGTTCTCTACTTCCCGTTTCACGTCAGCAAAGATCAGTATGGAACTGTCGGCTTGGACAGGACTCGGAAGCTGGCAGCCACTCTGAAAAGTCCTCTCTTTGAAGGCCTTGTGAGAGCTCTCGAAGACCTTACCTTTCCCGAGAAGCGGCTGTTTGATGGTCTCTGCGAAGTGAAGAGCTGCCTCATGTCTGGCAATCGTACCAAAGCTCGGGAGACATTTCGAGCAGTCTTCGCGGACTGTTTGGACGTGGAAGCCATGCGCAATGAGACCAGACAGGCCGGAGAATACAACGTCAAGTTTGCGAGGGACTACTCCAAGCCGGTTGTGAAGGCTCTTGGCGAAGACGGTAGCAAGCTCCTACAGATGGACGAGAAGAAGTTTGCGACAGCCATCGCTGGAGTCCTGACGAGCTTGCAGAAAGCTATCAAGGACTTGCCCGGGGGGAAGTTAAGCCTGGCTTCCTTTTCAAAGTGGATGGCAAACTTCGATCAGCCAAGAGGACGCGGCAGCAGCAGCGATGACTTGATCGAGATACCTGGACAGTATGATGGTTTGCAGTGCCCCGACGTTTCATCGCACATCACACTAGTTGGATTCGACGAGACTCTGATCGGCTTGAGCTCCAAGCAACGCCCAAAGATCTTGACGATGCGGGGATCCGACGAGAAAGAGTACAAGTTCATCGTCAAGGGTGGCGAGGACTTGCGGCTGGACCAGCGCATCGAGCAGCTGTTTGCGAAGATGAACAGCGTTCTCAGGGAAGACGGCGCGTGTGCCAAGCGAGAGCTCTCGATGAGGACGTACGCCGTCATCCCCGTCTCCCAGCAGTGTGGGCTGCTCCAGTTCGTGGACAACACCTGCGTTCTCGACGACGTGATCAAGGATGGAGTGGCCCAGCAGCTGGCGGCCGCAAAGCGGAAGGAGAAAGCGGGCGATCTTCTGGTGGAGCTGAGGAACCAGTACCACCAGTGGGTGGAGAAGAAAGGCGGCTCCAAGAGCGTCCACGACTGCTACAAGAATCTCTACACCAAGGTGAAGGCGGGGGAGATGGAGGCGAGGATGAACGCGCTCGTAGCTCAGGTGCCGTGGGATGCTCTCAAGACGGGGCTGTACAAGCGAACGAGCAGCGCCGAGTCCTTCTTGGCGATGCGCTCCCAGTTTGCTCGAAGCCTTTCGGTGATGAGCATCTGCGGATACATTGCCGGAGTTGGCGACAGGCACCTGGCCAACACTCTGATCGACATGCAAACAGGCTCGCTCGTTCCCATCGACTTTGGCTACAGCTTTGGCACCGGAGTGATCCTCCTCCCCGTCCCGGAGCTCATCCCCTTCCGCCTCACGCCGCAGCTGACCAACGTTTTGCTGCCACTCGACTCGCTGGGACTGCTCAAGAACGACATGGTCCGGGTCTTGAGCGCGCTCCACAAGAGCCGGCAGATGATATGCGCGGTCATGGACGTGTTCGTGAGGGAGCCGCTGGTGGACTGGAAGAAGGAGGCGGCGAGAACCGCGAGCATCCGGGGTGGCGAGGAGGAGAGCCACGAGCAGCAGCACGTAGAGCTCAAGATCGAGAACGCGCAGAGGAAGCTCGACCTGTGGAACCCAGCGCATGTCACGCTCGGGGAGCTCCAGAGCTCGGTTCACGCCGGGACGCCGTGGATGCATGCGATCGAGGCGGCGGTGCTGGGTGATCCAGTTAAGAACACGAGGCGGCGGATCGACAGGAAGATCTGTGCGTCGGTGGAGGAACAGGTGGATTGTTTGGTTGATCAAGCCACCGATCCAAATCTCCTGGGGCGCCTCTGGGTGGGATGGCAGTCATGGATGTAATATCCTCGACTGCCACATATAATGCAAGAATTAAGTTCAAGCGATCCATGCAAAGAAAAATTCAACAGAGCTCACGACATTAGCCAAGGTGGTCAAAAGTCTGTAAACCTTGTAATTTTTTCCCTTTCCTTTCTGCTGCTTGCCCTATTCGCAGGATCTAAGTATAAAAAGAAAAATAAATTCATGATGAGTTTGTGGAACTCACGCTCCGTAAGGAGTTGGAAACCTTTGAGACAGGCGTGCTGTAAACGCTGTGATTACGGAGTTGGAACTGATCCTCTTCATCCGAGCTGCAGCATCGAAATCGCTGCCATCGCGCGATCCAGTTTTTAGTTACACTTAACATGGAATCTTTTCAACTTGCCAAGGATATCCGTCTTTCGTACGCCTCCGTACTCTAATTGGTGTGCCACGTGGACTTGCCCTTCTCTACTTCGGTGTTGCCCGAGGAGCGAGCGATGGCGCCGCGGCTGGCGATGTTAGGGTTGGCGGCAGCGCTGGAGCTGCTGCTGCTGCTTCACCTCCAATTCGCCACCGCCTTCTACCTCCCAGGCGTGGCGCCACAAGATTTCGCCCAGGTAAGTGGATGCTTTCTTGTGGCCCAGATCTGGGATCTCTGGCATTCTCTGGCCTAGATCCATGCTTGCATAGGGTGTGATTTGGTAAAGCTTATGCTACACAGGGTGCGGAGCTCCAAGTCAAGGTGAACAAGCTCACATCTATCAAAACTCTCCTTCCGTATGAGTACTATTCACTGGGCTACTGTCGGCCCGAGAAAATTCTCAACAGTGCCGAGAACTTGGGGGAAGTTCTTCGTGGGGATCGGATCGAGAACTCTGTTTATTCTGTAAGCATGTTTCCGCTGATAATATTTGTTTCTAAAGTCTTTTGCTTCACAGTTTTCCATGAGGGAAGACAGGTCGTGCATTGTTGCTTGCAAAGGCGAAAAGCTGTCCGAAAAGAGTGCCAAGAATTTCAAAGAGAAGATTGACGAGGATTACCATGTTAACATGTAAGTCTGGTGGTAATAATGCTTTGAAGCTTTTCACATGTCATCGCCACAGGATTTTGGACAACCTTCCTGTAGCTATCGCTGCACCTGGTAACATGGACGGCAGTCATCTCAAACTTTACGAGCGAGGTTTTCCTGTAGGATTCAAGGTTAGTACCAGATTTCGTTTTTTTTCTTTTCTTTCTAAACTCTAGTGACCTTAAAAACTTCGCAGAGTGATGATGGGAAGTATAACCTTTACAACCACCTCAAGTTTACGGTTTATTTTCACAAGGATTCGGATCAGGATTTCTCTCGCATCGTGGGCTTTGAGGTGTTCCCCTTGAGGTTTGTGGCTCAGTTTTGATTTTGATTTGACTCGGAACCTGATACTGGTTTTTGTGGTTAGTGTGAAGCACACCTACGAATCATGGAACAAAAATAATCCGAAACTACAGACTTGCAACCCCGAAGGCAAACAGTTCGTTGAATCGTCAAAGACACCACAAGAAGTTGAAGTCGGGGAAGAGATCGTTTTCACTTACGACGTCAAATTCGAGGTAACTGTTACCTGCCTGTCTTTTATCCTTCTGTTCTCAACGTGCCTGTTTGTTTGCAGGAGAGCGCCACGAGATGGGCTTCGCGATGGGATATGTACCTTATGATGTCAGACGACCAAATCCACTGGTTTTCTATCATCAACTCCCTCATGATCGTTCTCTTCCTCACGGGAATGGTGGCCATGATCATGATGCGTACACTGCATCGCGATATATCCAAGTACAATCAACTGGAGACTCAGGAAGAAGCACAGGAAGAAACTGGGTGGAAGCTGGTGCACGGTGACGTTTTCAGAGCTCCGGAACACGCTGGAACGCTGTGTGTGTTCGTGGGAACAGGGGTGCAGTGCCTGGGCATGACAGTCGTCACCATGATCTTCGCACTGCTGGGATTCCTATCGCCCTCGAACCGTGGCGGGCTTATGACTGCTATGGTGCTGCTGTGGGTGTTCATGGGGCTGGTGGCCGGGTATGCCTCAGCGCGCCTCTACAAGTCTTTCAAAGGCAGTGACTGGAAGAAGATAACCATGAAGACGGCACTCATCTTCCCGGCCGTCGTCTTCTCCATCTTCTTCGTGCTCAATGCCATCATCTGGGGGGAGAAGTCGTCGGGGGCTGTGCCTTTCGGGACGATGTTCGCGCTGGTTTGCCTCTGGTTTGGCATCTCGGTGCCGCTGGTGTTCGTCGGCAGCTACTTGGGATACAAGAAACCAGCCATCGAGCCCCCGGTCCGGACCAACAAGATCCCGCGACAGGTCCCAGAGCAGGCGTGGTACATGCAGCCCATCTTCTCGGTGCTCATCGGCGGCATCCTTCCATTCGGCGCGGTTTTCATCGAGCTCTTCTTCATCCTCACCTCCATCTGGCTGCACCAGTTCTACTACATCTTCGGCTTCCTCTTCATCGTCTTCCTCATCCTCGTCGTCACCTGTGCCGAGATCACCATCGTCCTCTGCTACTTCCAGCTCTGCAGCGAGGACTACTACTGGTGGTGGAGAGCGTACCTCACGTCGGGCTCCTCGGCCATCTACTTGTTCCTCTACGCAACCTTCTACTTCTTCACCAAGCTGGAGATCACCAAGCTGGTGTCGGGGCTGCTCTACTTTGGCTACATGACCATCATCTCGATTGGCTTCTTCGTCCTCACTGGCACCATCGGGTTCTACGCATGCTTCTGGTTTGTCCGCACCATTTACGCCTCGGTCAAGATCGATTGAGACGAAAAGAAGGAAAAAAATTATCATCGCCATCATCGGTTGCTGCTGCTGGTGCTGCTACTGTGAAAAGTTTTGATTGTTTTCTTAATGGCCGCATAGCAATAGCGTAGCTAACTTAAAAATCTCTGGTGGGATTCCATTCAGCTCCACTTGAAACAAGGCAAGGCAAGGAAACGTAGCTGCTAGCTAGTAGATATTCACCGGTTGACTCGATCAGATCGATCTCCTCTGACGTAGAAAATCTCTTTTGCTTGAATCATTCGGTCAAATTTAGTCAAACTAAAGTCAACTCAAGAACTAAGCTCGGAATGGGATTCGAACCTCTCCTTCGTTTCTAGGGTTCTGGGTTAACCCTCGCTGCCTTGGCGGTGAAGCAAGCGTGCCTGAGCGAGAACAACGCCAAAACAATGGCGACGAGTAAGTTTTGGCTCATCTCTAGCTAGCGATCGATCGACTGGGGCCTTGTTCCAGGGGCGCAGTTTGAGAACAGCAGTGACATTGGCGTCTTCTCCAAGCTCACTAATGCCTACTGCCTGGTAGCGATTGGAGGATCAGAGAATTTCTACAGGTGAGAGTTTTCGATCCATTACTTGGATTGATTTTTGTGAATTCTTTGTCTCAGCACCTTCGAGGCGGAGCTAGCCGACCACATTCCCGTAGTAAAGGTGTCCATCTCTGGGACAAGAGTGATTGGAAGGATGTGTGTCGGTAAGAATTCTCGAAAGAGATCTAGGACTGAAAATGTGTGTCTCGTTTTGCGCAGGAAACAAAAACGGCTTGCTACTCCCAAACTCGACGACCGATCAAGGTAAGTCTCGAGTGAAAGGTTTCTCTTTTCTTCGTTTTCTGCCAGAGGGGATTGTGTGATTTTCCAGAGCTTCTTCACATTCGGAACTCTCTTCCCGACCGTGTTGTGGTTCAAAGGGTGGATGAAAGGTTGTCTGCTTTGGGAAACTGCATTGCAACGAATGACTACGTTTCTCTCGTTCACACGGACTTGGACAAGGTAGACGTTTTCTCCATCCAGTCTTTGTTTCTTTGAAGCAATCAATGTGTCTGTTCCTCCAGGAAACCGAAGAACTCGTGGCCGATGTGCTTGGAGTTGAAGTTTTCAGGCAGACCATCGCTGGGAACGTCTTGGTTGGAAGCTACGGCGTCTTCTCAAACAGAGGTGGACTGGTAAGAAGATCCTTGTCTGATCTTTCTCGTGAACTTTTTTGAGGAACTTTTCTGTTGTCACAGGTGCATCCTCACACATCGATCGAAGATCTGGACGAGCTATCGTCGCTGTTGCAAGTCCCGCTGGTTGCAGGCACTGTCAACCGCGGGAGCGACGTGATCGGCGCTGGGCTGATCGTGAACGACTGGACAGCCTTTTGCGGCCTCGACACCACCACCACCGAGCTCTCGGTTGTGGAGAGCGTTTTCAAGCTCCGAGAGTCTCAACCCAGTGCCATTGTCAACGAGATGAGAGCTTCGCTCATCGATACGCTTGCCTGAGAACTGAAAAAAAAAAAAAGGAAACTAAGCTTTGCTTTCATGGGTTTTTTGCGCTTTGTTTGATCTTTTAGGTACTTGGAAAGCTAGCTATGGGTACTCTGGGCTGGGATGGCGCTTGGTTTTACAAGCAAAGGTTGGGTTTTGATAGGAAAAGCAGCAAAGGACGAGCAGGGAAGAACAGCAGCGGCAGCACTAGTAGTTCTAGCGGAAGATTTCCATTCAAGCAAGCTATGGTGGCTGGATCTTTAGCTTTGACAGGCGATACCATTGCTCAGCTTCGTGGGCGATGGAACCAGCACAAGAACAGCGACGCTTGGGAGGTAGGCTAGCAGTCTTGGCGTGGCTGTGATCTTCCTGTTCTTCCAGAGGGAGCTATGGAATCACGATTGGGTGAGGGCGCTGAGGATGGCCAGCTATGGGTTCTTGCTCTACGGCCCAGGATCGCAGGCTTGGTACGAGCTCCTCGATTGGTACTTCCCTGCCAAGACGATGAGAAATCTATCCATCAAGGTGAGATTCTTACGCCAAGTTTGTGTTGTTTGCTCACGAATCTCGCCGCGACGCGACAGATTGTTTTGAATCAGCTGGTGCTCGGCCCATGCGTGATTCTCGTAATCTTCGCGTGGAATAGCATCTGGCAAGGCCAAGCTCGCGAGCTCCCATCAATGTACAAGAACAAGGCATTGCCTACGCTCGTCGATGGTAGAATAGAAGAATCAAAATCTCTCCTTTCTCACCGATTTCTCGATTCTTTGGCAGGATGGAAGTTTTGGATTCCTGCCAGCGCGCTCAATTTCAGTGTCGTGCCTCTGGATGCTCGAGTTGGATTCATGTCGTGCTGCTCGATTTTTTGGAACTTCTACCTCTCCAATGCCATGGGAAAACGCTGAAGATCTTCCCTTGTTCCTTGTCCGCTCGTCAATAAACTTCTCTGTCACCGGCACGTGCCAGTGGGATACCGGCTCTGCCAGTAAAAGCCCGGGAAACTTAGGGCAGCGCCCTAGCTGGAAGAAGAGCAGTCATGGCGGCTACAGCTAGGGTTTGTGAGCGCCAGGATCAACTCCCCTTTCTGGAGCGACGGATCTTGTTCCATCCCCCCAAAGACACTGCATTGCTCGCGGCATTGCCTCCAGGTATCGAGCCGCTCAATCACGGATTCAATGCGGCGACTCGTCCTCCTCCTCCGAGCCTTTCCAAGTCGCCCGATGGCAAAGGGATCAAGCGATCATGGGAGGAAGCGAATGGCGAGCCGCAGAAGGATTTTGGAGAGAATGTGCTACCCGAGCTGGGAGCTCCCCTCCGGATTGTGAGTATTTGTAGGGGTTTTGGGAGGTTTAGCCTAACTTTGTGCTTGATAGGGAGCCGGGCTTACAAATCTCGGTAACACTTGCTTCCTCAACTCTGTCTTGCAATGCCTTACGTACACGCAGCCCTTGGCGGAGTTTCTCAAAAGCGGCCAACACAAGCTCTTGTGTAAGTCTGTCTAGTAGTGTTTTCTCTTTACTGCAGCTTATCGCTTCTATTTGTCGCAGGTCGAAAGTCTGGATTTTGTGCAATGTGCGCTCTGGAAGGGCACGTCAGGAATGCATTGCAGTCATGGGGAAAGGTGATAGCTCCCAATCATATGGTGAAAAACTTGCGCAGTAAGTCTTTATAGATTATAGATTTCTCGCGTAAACTATTCGAATGCAGGCATATCACGTGCGTTTCAACCTTGGAGACAGGAAGATGCGCATGAGTTTTTAAGATATCTCATGGAGGCTTTGCAGAAAGACTGTCTTCCTAGCAAAACGCCGATGAACTCCCCGGAACAAGAAAAAACTCTTCTGTACAAAATCTTCGGTGGTCGTCTTCGAAGTCAGGTATTTGCCTAGTTACACTGTGTAGGAGCTGAATTACGAGCATTTTCTGGCAGGTGAAATGCAGTAATTGTCTGGAACGTTCAGAAACTGTTGATCCTTTTCTAGACCTGAGCTTGGACATCACACGGGCAGACTCGCTGGGCAAGGCCCTCGCATGGTTTACAGCCAATGAGATACTCGATGGTGATAACAAGTATCACTGCGAGAAATGCAAGAAGAAAGTGCGTGCCATAAAGCGGTTTACGATCGAAACCGCGCCAAACGTCCTAACAGTTCAGTTCAAGCGTTTCAGCAGCACTGGCTTACATGGGCAAAAGATAGACAAGAAGGTTCACTTTGGAAGAAAGCTAGACATCACTCCTTTTATGAGTAACGCCAGGGTAAGCCAGGGTAGCTGCTTCACTTTTTATAGCTAACGCTGCCCAGCAGGATGGTGCGGTTTATGACTTGTATGGTGTGCTGGTGCACGCGGGGTGGTCAACCCGTTCTGGACACTACTATTGTTTTGTACGCACTTCCTCCGATATGTGGCACGTCTTAGATGACTCTCGGGTATGAGCGTCTTTACCTTGTGTGCTTATTAAAGCTATTTTACATGCAGGTTCAACAGCTGAGCGAACAAACTGTTCTGAACCAAAAGGCTTACATACTCTTCTATATCCGTAAGACGCCAACACAGAGACTCCCCTCGGCGCCTGCTACAGAGATTTCAGGAAAGAAGATTGCTACCACAAAGCCTCTTCATATGCCGGATGCTGTGCCAGCTGCTAAAATCGAGGAAAGGGAAACAAGTTTACGAGAGCAGGAAGTCCCCGCTGCTACTATAACCAAGGAAAGAGAAGAAAATTCGCCAGATAAAGTTGTTACAGCCAAAGCAAAGGAAACTGTGCCAGCTGCTACGGACGAGGAGGGAAAAGCAATTTCGGAAGAGGACATCTGTTCTCTCTCCCCTGTAGCTCCGTCCGCGGAAAAGCGTGCTAGTCCTGAGCCAGAATTGAAAAAGGAGGTAACATTTTGAGTCATTGTTTCTGTTTATGTTGCTTACTGTGTTGTCTACAGGGAACTGTCCCGGCAAGCAGAATCGAGCCCGAAAACCAAGCGCCTTCGATGGTGGACAAGGGGTCAACTAAAAAGCTGGACAAACGTGATCCGGAAAAACTTGAGAGAGAATTACCGAAAGGCCAAATCTCCCTCAAGAAGTTCGACACGGATCCGCCAAGAAGACCTGAGAAGGGCTACCTGAAGTTACTTAAAGCTATGCCCAAGAACAGGCGCTTGTTGATGGAAAAGGCTCTTGAAGGTGGAATTGCTGAAGGGACGGCTGCCTCCAAAAGCAAAAAGCTCGTGGAGAACGACGATCCCAAGAAGAAAAAGAAGTGCAGTCCAAATGAGCTGTTTGGAACTGGAGGTACATACTTTTCTCCGATCTCTGTAAGTGACTCTGTACTGCAGTTGCACGATGGGAGGGTGTCGATGGGAAAGAAGTCGATGGCTTTCTTAGCCAAGAACACAAGGTCTCAACAAAGAGACCCGATGAGTGGTATGAGAATTTAGTTCTTCTCCATCTGTCTTACACCTCTTCTGTTTTCTCAGGGATGAAGAGTATGATCGTGGTAGACTTAAAAAGCTCCGACGAAGTGCCGGAGGTGGAAGGCTTACTCCTCTGAAAAGCTGCGAGAACGCGAATCCATTCCAAGCTCTTACTTCCAAAAAGAAGAGCTGAAGTTTTTCATAACCGCGAGTGTAAATTAAAGAGGTATGGAAGTGTCACAACACAAATAAGTGGTGAAACTCCGACACGTTTTTCAGGAATGAATCTAAAATTTTTTAAAATCTACCGCGCGCGAGAGAGATATGCCACCGCAGGACGGAATATGCGACCACAGTGGAGCGATCTCGTACAGTCGTGGTGGCGGCTTCCGCGAGAGAGGAATAAAATTACAATGGCGACGATGGAAAATTCTATCCCAGGGCTTGGAGGCTGGAGTGGCCAGCAAGTTTAAGAACCAGATGATCCAATCTCCTCTGGCTAGCGCGAGTTCTTGGCGATGGCGGCCGCGCGGCTCAAATGCGTGACCCTGGATGTCACTGGCACGCTCATGGCGTACAAGGGCGAGCTCGGCGACTACTATTGCATGTCCGCCAAGGCGCTGGGGCTGCCGTGCCCGGATTACAAGCGCGTCCACGAGGGATTCAAGGCTGCCTACGCGGAGATGAGCAAGAAATTCCCATGCTTCGGCTATGGCCATCTCTCGGATGTGGAGTGGTGGAGGCGGTGCGTGCGCGATTCTTTCATCAGGGTACGTGCTATAGCTCCTCTCTCGATGCATTGGTCTCATGTTTGATCGGCCAGGCGGGCTATTCCTTCGATCCGGACACCGGGGAGCAGATTTTCAATCGAATCCATGCGATGTTTGGATCCACGGCGCCGTACACGATCTTCCCGGACGCGCAGCCATTCCTCCGCTGGGCTCGGGCGAGTGGATTGAGCGTTGGGATCGTGAGCAATGCAGAGTCGCGCTACCGGGATGTGATTCTCCCGGCCCTGGGTCTCAATCAGGTATCAAAGCTATCGATCTTTCGATTTTCCTGCCAATGGGGCTCACGATCGATCATGGTGTCGCCAGGGATCGGAGTGGGACTTTGGTGTCTTCTCGGGCCTCGAGGGCGTGGAGAAGCCCGACCCAGGAATCTACAAGCTCGCATTGGAGAAGGCGGGCAATGTTCCTCCCAGCATGGCGCTCCACATCGGGGATAGCTTGAGGAAGGACTATCTCCCGGCGCAGAGCCTCGGGATCCATGCGATACTCCTCGATCGATTCAAGACGGCCGAGGCCGCGCGATTGAAAGAGAGTGGAGTGATCGTTCTGCCCGATCTCCCCGCCGCGCAGCAATGGATTCTCCACAACTGTAGCGTCCAGCAAATGGCGAATAACGAAAGGGCTTGATTAACTTAGCCCGTCTGCGTACGAAAGTGTGTGCCGTACATTGCCGCGTTAGGTTCTAGACCGTACGTTATAGTACGGAGGTGCCGTGACCGTACATTGTCAAATTTAGGGTTCTAGAGCAAAATATTTCTTGGCGGACGCTCGCGGTGGCGGCGGCGGTGGCGGCGGCAATCTCTCCGTTCTCGTGCACGCTGGAGGTGCGGCGTTGTAGCCTGTCCATGGCGCGGCGATGCTAGATTGCTGCTAGGATTCTCTGCTGATCAATCCGAGAAGGCGGAGAAGGAGAAGAACAAGAAGCACGGGGATCACTCTGCTAAAGACTAAGTCAAGAACAAGGAGCAGTCGGCTCGGCGCGGCTTGTGATGGCGGTGCTGGTGAAGCGAGCAATTTCGGCCAAAGGTGAGCGTCTAGAGTGTCGTTGAGTGCTTTCATGGATATTCTCACCCTGGCAACCAGAACTATAGAAGAATTTGGCGCAGTGGCTTGTCTTTATTGCTGGAACTCCTCCTTCCTGTGCTGCGTGTGTGTGTGGAGGATTTGTGGCCAGCCGGCCACTCCGACACGTTAGCGAACTTACTTATATCTCGACCGCCAGTGTTTTCTCATTTCCTTCCTGCGAGCTATGGCAGGAGGTAGCGATTCAAGATCTCTAGAGTTAACTCCTACATGGCCATGTGTACGTTGTTCGTTCGTGACGATCTTTCATTCAGTGGCTATCCAGAACAAAGAGGAAACCCCTCTATGGTTTGTTTGTTCAATCAGGCTCTGTTGCAATGTTGTTTCAGAGTTGATGCTTCTTCCTCATCACCATAACTGCGTCTTTCCTTTTTTAATAAGCAACGCATGCCTTGTCACCTCCCATCCTCCGGGAAAGGGGCTGATCACTTGTTCGTAAGCAATCGGCGGCGGGAAGTCGCTTCACTAGAAAACACTTGCTCGGAGGTTTGTAGATTCATTCAATTGGCTCGGGTCTCGTTCGTAAACTCCTGTCCTTTGTCCAGGGCTACGAACCATTTATCTCTTTCCTGGGCCTTGAGAAACTACACATATGTCAGTTGCCAAACTCGTCGTCGTCTTCTTTTGTTTGACAAGCGTACTTTGGCAGCATGCCGGTTCTCATTCTCTCAACCTCGAAAATGTTGTATACTCTGGTTCAATGGCGCATATTGAGCAGCAAAATGGTAGGATTCTTAACGATCATCCGCGCTATTGCAATTCGTTGCTTTTGACCACCAGTGAAGAAGATAATGTTACAAACAACACATCTATTAAACACAAAACGAAATACCTTAATCCAACAGTATCCTTGAACTCGTCCTCCAACGACCGAATCATGTAGCTGTGAAAATTTGTTTCTCCAAAAGCTCAAACTAGTTTCTCAGTGACTGTGTGAGCAACTTTAGAAACTCACGCAACGCCAAGTAGTCGGATTTTGAAGAACGCAACCAGCAGTGACTCCAGCTATCTCACTCGGATCCGGCTCGACTGTCGCTCCCCCGTGTACAGCCAGCACCAAACTTCTGCTCGAGCCAACAAGATCAAGAGAGAACGAGCAAGGAGAACTCAGTCAGCTCTCACCCAGCCAAGTGACCCATCCAGAATTGAGCGCCACGATAAACATAGCGATCGCGAACTGCCAGGTAATTAAGCATTACTTTTCAAAGTTCCCCGGAAGAACACTGAGTTTTGCTTTTCGTGCTTACTTTCAGCACAGCAGATGTGCCGCCGCATCCCTGTCACTCTGATTTGTGGCGAGAGCATTGACGATCCGGCCAAAGTAGTACATGTTGATCGGAAGGACGAGGCTGTGCACGATGGCTGCCAAGCTGCAAAGTGACACACTAATAGGAATGTAAAAGAGCATGATTGGGACATTAAAACACAAGCTCTGCGTTACAGGTTTTTGCTAGGCTGATTTTGTCACAGTTAGACGAAAGAAGATGGTGGATACCATCCAAGAATGTCCATTCCAACAACAGTGGACTATCTCGAAAATCACCTCAACAATAAAGTTTGTTTGCACGTAAACTATTTTATTCGTTATTAAAGGTCTTCCAGATATAATTATAGCTTATGGTTTTTGTTATGAAACTTTTTATATTACGCATTGTGTGGCCATTTTACAAGTCAATTGCTGGTATGGATCTCCACACATTTGGCGAGTCCCATCCTCAAAGAAAGTGGAAGAAAGAGCTCTCTCGGCACTCCATCTCTCCTCCGGCTCCCAAACCAGCATGTTGTCCAGCAGCTCAAGAATATCTTCGTCGCCAATCTCCCTGTGGAGCCTCTCCTTGATCTCCTCCACCACCCTGTAAAGCTCTCTGGCGGCGTGGCTCTCGCGTACAACGCTGAAAGGGTTGTACCCTAGAACCAGCTCCGCGAGGATCACTCCAGCGCTCCACACGTCCACGCCACTTCCCAGCTCTTGGGTGTCGCCCAGGATGATCTCCGGCGCGTTGTAGGCCAGCGTTCCAATCGTTTCTGGGTCTCTTGGGGGCGTCGTGACCCTTCTCGCGTGATCAAAGTCGCACAGCTTCACCTTGGTGCCCTCCTTGTTGATCAGGACGTTGGCGGTCTTGATATCCTGGTGAACGATGCCATGCTCGTGCATGTAGGCCAGGGCTTGAAGGATCTGCTCGATGATCGTCTTGATCTCCTCCCTGTTGAGGGTTCTCTTCATAAGCATGCCCAATCTCTTCTTGAACTTGTAGAGATCCCCAAACATGTGCTCGAACACCATGTACGTTTTACCTCCAATCGAGCCCACGTCCAAAAGCTTGACAATGTTTTCATGTTGACATTCTTGTAGAAGACCATAGACCAGCTTCGTTTCCTCGTGTAGGTTTAGATGCTCTACCATCTCTTTGATGGCGACCTTCTCCATAGTGTCAAGATTTATCCCCCCTCTCACCGTTCCACCAGTACCACGCCCCAGCCTTGTCGAGTAATCGATTGAGTATCGCATCATCTCTCTTACTTCGTTGTGACGATAAAAAAAAAGGGTTCATTAGCACAACACTTTAAAATAAAAGTTTTGCCTTTTTGACTAACTAAATGAAGCCCTCTTTTTCTGTTAAAGAATACTTACTAAAAGTTAACACATGTCTTGATGATGATCCTTCTGGCACTGCTCGTAGCTCCTGTCCAAAAGAAGCAATCGCGCTGCGGTCTATGGTGCTCATGTCCATCACGCTGCTGTGATCTTTGTTTCTCTTCTTTGCTGCCTTCTTCCAGTTGTGAATCGAGTCCACTATGTGTTCTTGAAATATCGCTCTCTTGTAGTTGGATCCCATCTACGTACGAGCATTGTCGTCAGTATACATGCGGTGACATTTAAAACTTTGCTTACCTGTGTCACAAGAGCATGGAGAGGTAACGTGCTATAGCTGCATAGTATTTGCACCAAGAACCTGATCACCAGACAATGTTACCTCTACCTGATTCACGCAAAACTTTCAAACTTACCCGGTGACAACTCGCGAATACGAGAAGATCCTATTTTGCATCAAGCAAGAGTCCCAGCCGAATTGCCACTGAAAAATGCATTCCAGGATTAATTCACTTCCTTGCAACTTTTCATTATAACTTACCCAAAAGCAAAGAAAAGCCTGTAAAAACGTAAGAGATGTCACTGTGGTGCCAATTCAAGCGGCAGAAGCCAAACCAAACCTGGAAGAGAATGAAATGGATCAGATGTAGCATCAATCGCGGTTTGTTGAACCAAAACAGTGTGTCTCGAGGTTTTAAACCTGCTATCCGTGGGCCAGACAATCCAGAATCTTCCTGGCGATTCCATACTGGAGTTTCGCTCCGACCACTAATGGCAAAGTTTAGAAGAGATAAATTAAAACTAAAGAAACAAAAGAAAAGAAAAACACCATACCGCGATGGGAACAAGTGACATCCAGAAAAATAAGTTGACCCTGAAAAAGATTATGTTACAAACAAGAAGCGGAAAGAGAAAAACCTGCTAACCATGAACATCAACAAGAAAAAACAGACAACAAACTTCCAGAAAATGATGCTGCAAGGAGCAAAAATAAAGAAGAACGTGGCATTAGCATTTTACCAACCACAGAACTAAATACCTTATTCCAACAATATCTTTGTACTCATCCTCCAACGATCAAATCATGTAGCTGTGAAAATCATATCTGGGGCGTGTCTCATGCTTCTGCAACAACTCAGCGTTATTTTTTGTGATCAACTTACCGTCACAAAGCCCGTACGCAAGGCCAAATAGTCGGATTTGGTTACCGACTGGGCAAATTGAAGGAAGAATCAGAGGAGTTTATCAAGAACTGCTCGCTCCATGATCAGAGACTACTGACCACACCAAGCAAGAGCTGTTCTTGCTCCACAAGGTCGATGCGCAAATGTTGATTGACACTTTAGAGTCAAGGTTCTCAAAGTTTTAGTTAAAGAGGTTCAAACCGTAAGTAAAATTACGAGGTTCATTGATGATCCTTCATAATAGCGAAGAGAATAGTCAGACACGAGTATAAAATGGAAACCATGGAAAGAACATATCAGTTCCAATCGAATCTTCTCAGTAAGAAGCAACTCTTCAACTTGTTTAGAGATAGTTTCTTCAGTGGCTTTACAAGGACAGATATCAGATTAGAGGACTTATACTTTGAAATGCCTTGACAACGTGTGGAGACGCAGGGTCCGCCAGGCATGGTGCTTCCTGCATTGAAAAGTTTCTTCTGCAAGCTCTGGTGTGCAGGTTTTGGATTTGCTGCTCTGCGACGCAGTGAGTGGTATTGAAACCCGTAATCTTGAAGAAGTCGACGATGGTTTTCCTAAGTAGAGCTGTTTCAAAAGCCTGGAACTGTGGTTATGTCCTGTTCCAAGGAAGTGGGAAGGTTTGAAGACGGAGCGAGTGATAGTAGCTGGATAAAGCTCGTGGCTGTCCGTATGATACGCTATTAGAAGCATGTAACTTATTATAAGCATTTAATGATTGATTCAATCCTAATGTAGATCAAATCGAAACAAAAGTAGGAAAAGCCACGCACAAGTTCAATTGATCATGTGGATAAGAAAAAACAACAGAGGAAACAATTAAACCAAAAAACAAACAAACAAACAAACAAACAAGAAAAAGCATGAAACAAGCACAAACATTGTTAAGCTTACGATCTTAGTCGCCTGCTAAAATTTCAGGAAACAGAGAATACACCTGTTGAAAATGTCCATCAAGCAAAAGAAATTTTTGTATCTTCTCCATTGTCTCGTGGTCATATTGTGACAATTCCTTACCCAAGGAGAAGGCCATGCTGGTCCGATGGTGTCAAGCAGGGCTTCTCAATCACCTTCACTAGGCCAGCTATTTAACGTGTCCGAATCAGCCGGTCTAGATATCAAGCTTGTTAGTAGTTCGCCCTTCCTTGAAAAAGCTATAGCAGAAAATATGTTTGCACAAACGTACTGGGAACCCTGAAAAAGCTTGTCAAAGAGATACTAGAGACATACTTGATCTTTTGCATTTTATAGTTGTCAAAAAACTCTGAAAGATGTCGCAGTGCTATTTACAACCAGGATTCAGGTTGCAGGACCTGCATCGTAGCATGGTAGCGCATCCTTTAATGATATTTTAGCTAGGAAAATTTTCTGAAATGTGGCTCCTGGATAAAAAAAAGGAAAAGAAATAAAAACACACTTTGAGGTCCTGTTGGATCAAGGAGATTTTTTGGGCACACATCCATCTTTGCAAGATGGCAAGAACCTCTACTGGTTCAATAATGACTAACATTGGATCAGTGACCTTATTGACAATGGGGTACTTCTGCCTAAGTTTTTCAACCTTCTTATCAAAGCACTCAATTTCATCCCCATTATAACCTGTCAAAAAGCTTACAATTTAACTTTCTAAGAAAAGCACCTTGAGCTACAAAGTTTAAGAATGGTTGCCTTTTTAAAAAATGAAGAAGCTTGAGAGAATCGGACAACTTTGGCTTTTCATGGCTCTGGAATGCTTCTGATTTCGTTCAAAGTATCAAATTCTCCATTATGTATTCACTCCCGTGACAAGGATATTTCATGTCCCTTCGAAGGTCTTTGAGAATCTTAGAAAGCCTAGGTACAAAAGCAGTAGAAAAAATGTCAAATGAAAAAAAAATTTCAACCAATTCATTAAAATTTTCATTAAACACTATTTCAATGGTTTTGCTTTTTATCAAACCCTAAAGTGAATATTTATTTTCAGTGTAGCAATTAAAAATGGACCGTGGATAAGAATGACTCTTAGGATGACAATCCAAGAATTTAACCTCTATCTCAACACCCCATGCACACAGAGCACTCTCAATCCTCACGTTCACTACTCGTCAATCCAAGAACCCCCTCTTTCCAAGAACCCGTACTGTCATCTCCTTGCCGCTTAACCTAATTGGTAGAATTGTGTGACCAAATAAATACTTATCTTTTAAAATCCCCATCGTAGTCAACATCAGTACCACACAAATCTTTGCATGCACAAGGTGCACATTTAAACATTATAATTACATATAATTCATCTCATCACAGCATCATAGGCACTCCACACTCACATTTCTCTACCCAAAACCAAGCTAACTCATGTCTCACAATTCACAATCTCTAAATATTAGTGAACATTAAGCTTTGTGGCCATGATTTTGTCATGCTAGCCCAGCCATGAATTTGTTATGCTAGTCTAGTTATACAATTTTAGAATCACAATCAATTTTAAAATCGACCATGCACAGAAATAACTCTTAGTTGAAACAAAGATGACAATCTAGGAATCTAACCTCATCTCAGATTTAGCGTGAACCACGTCAGGGGCCACAGAGCCGTTACAACGGGATAGAAAATTGTGCCGTACATGTTGCAACACGTACTGAACAGTCTATTGCCGTACATTGTCACATTTAGGGTTTTAGCAAAATATTTCTTGGCCATGGCGAGTGTAGTGATTTCGGGCGCCCCGGCAGCGTTGGAGGCGGCGGCGGCGGCAGCAGCGATCTCGCCTTTTTCGTGCACACTGGAGGTCCAGTACGCGAGCGAGGATTCGGCGCGGCTTGTGATGGCGGTGCTGGCCGTGGACGCGGAGCTTCAGCCCGACAAAGTGAAGCGAGCAATCTCGGCCAGAGGTGAGCGTCTGGTGGTCGCATTCTCCGCCACAGAGGCCAGATTCCTGAGAGCGTCGTTGAGTGCTTTCATGGATATTCTCACCCTGGCGACCAAAGCTATAGAAGAATTTGGCGCTGTGCCTTGTCGCTAGTGCTGGAAGCCTTTCGCTCCTCCTTCCTGTGTCTGTGGAGGATATGTGGCCGGCCGGCCACTCCCAACACGTTTTCGTGTGGATTTCTTTCTCGACCAAACATACTTATATCTTCGAGCGCGCGTATGTTTCATTTCCTCCCTGCGTATTAGATAGAGCTATGGCAGGTGGCAGCGCTTCAAGATCTCTAGAGTTAACTCCTACATGGTCAGTAGCGATAGTGTGTACGTTGTTCGTTGTTATTTCGCTGCTAGGAGAGAGATCTCTACACCATCTCGGACAAGTAATTCTTCCCGATTTCGTAACGATCTATCGTTCTCTAACAATCTTATGTGACTTGGATTGGCAGTGGCTCTCCAGAACAAAGAGGAAACCACTCTATGCCGCACTGGAGAAGATCAAAGAAGGTTCGTTTGTTCAAGCAGGCTCGGATGCAATGACGAATGCTTGTTTCAGAGTTGATGCTGCTGGGATTCATCTCGCTTCTTATCACCATAACCGCGTCTTACGTCTCAAAGATCTGCATCAAATCGTCCTTTTTTGATAAGCAACGCATGCCTTGTCTCCTCCCATCATCCTCTAAAAAAGAGGCCGATCACTTGCTCGTAAGCAATCGGCGGAGGGAACTCGCTTCACTGGAAAACTCTTGCTCGGAGGTTTGTAAATTCATTCAATTGGCTTGGTCTTGTTTTCGTAAGATCCTGTTCTTTGTCTAGGGCCACGAACCATTTATCTCTTTCCTGGGCCTTGAACAACTACACAGGTTTCTATTCGTCATGGCTGTCACTCACATTTTATACTCATGTCTGACTATGCTCTTGGCTATTATGAAGGTTCGTCAATGTGAACCTCCTCGTGATTTTACTGACGGTTTTAGTGTTTTATTAGGTCCATACTTGGATAAAATGGGAAGAAGAAGCTCACACTCATGTGGACAATCAGGAACAGCTAGCTGGTAAGACTAATGCTCGTATTCAGAAAAGAAATCAACTTCTTTAACTAAAACCTTGAAATTGCCAGAGTTAACTAAAACCTTGACTCTAAAGCGTCAATCAACATTTGCTGCTTACCATGCATCTTCCTTGTGGAGCAGGAACAGCCTCTTGCTTGGTGTGGTGAGTAGTCTCTGATCATGGAGCGAGCAGTTCTTGATAAAGTCCTGTCTTTGCAGCTCTGTTTCTTCCGTCAATTTTGGCAGTCCGTAACCAAATCCGACTATTTGGCCTTGCGTATGGGCTTTGTGACGGTAAGTTGATCACAAAGTCTCTAAGAAATAACACTGAGTGGTTGCAGAAGCATAAGACACGCCCCAGATATGATTTTCACAGCTACATGATTCGATCATTGGAGGATGAGTTCAAAGATATTGTTGGAATAAGGTATTTAGTTCTGTGCTTGGTACAATGCTAATGCCACACTCATTTTTTTCTCTTTGCTCTTTGCAGCGTCATTTTCTGGACGTTTGTTGTCTGTTTTTTCCTTTTTGATGTTCATGGTCAGCAATTTTTCTGTTTCCGCTTCTTGTTTGTAACATAATCTTGTTCAGGTGTCAACTTATTTTTCTGGATGTCACTTGTTCCCATCGCGGTATAATGTTTTTCTTTTCTTTTGTTTCTTTTTGGTTTTAATTTATCTCTTCTAAACTTTGCCATGTCAGATGGTTTTAGTGGTCGGAGCGAAACTCCAGTATGTAATCGCTAAGTTGGCTTTGGAAGATTCTGGATTGTCTGGACCACGGATAGCCGGTTTAAAACCTCGAGACACACTGTTTTGGTTCAACAAACCGCGATTGATGCTACATCTGATCCATTTCATTCTCTTCCAGGTTTGGTTTGGCTTCTGCCGCTTGAATTGGCACCACAGTGACATCTCTTACGTTTTTACAGGACGCTTTTGAATTGGCCACTTTTCTTTGGGTTTGGGTAAGTTATAATGAAAAGTTGTAAGGAAGTTAATTAATCCTGGAATGCATTTTTCAGTGGCAATTCGGCTGGGACTCTTGCTTGATGCAAAATAGGATCTTCTCGTATTCGCGAGTTGTCACCGGGTAAGTTTGAAAGTTTTGCGTGAATCAGGTAGAGGTCACATTGTCTGGTGATCAGGTTCTTGGTGCAAATACTATGCAGCTATAGCACGTTACCTCTCTATGCTCTTGTGACACAGGTAAGCAAAGTTTTAAATGTCACCGCATGTATACTGACGACAATGCTCGTACGTAGATGGGATCCAACTACAAGAGAGCGATATTTCAAGAACACATAGTGGACTCGATTCACAACTGGAAGAAGGCAGCAAAGAAGAGAAACAAAGATCACAGCAGCGTGATGGACATGAGCACCATAGACCGCAGCGCGATTGCTTCTTTTGGACAGGAGCTACGAGCGGTGCCAGAGGTATCATCTGTAGAGAGCGAGTTACAACAAAGGCCTGACAAGGTGGATATCGAATCTGGATATTCAAGATATCTGTTAACTTTTAATAAGTAATTTAACAGAAAAGGAGGGCTTCATTTAGTTAGTCAAAAAGGTAAAACTTTTGTTTTAAAGCGTCCTGCTAATGAGCTCACCCTTAATTTTTATCGTCAAAACGAAGTAAGAGAGATGCCGCGATACTCAATTGATTACTCGACAAGGCTAGGGCGTGGTACCGGTGGAACGGTGAGAGGGGGGATAAATCTTGACACTATGGAGAAGGTTGCCATCAAAGAGATGGTAGAGCATCTAAATCTACACGAGGAAACGAAGCTGGTCTATGGTCTTCTACAAGAATGTCAACATGAAAACATCGTCAAGCTTTTGGACGTGGGCTCGATTGGAGGTAAAACGTACATGGTGTTTGAGCACATGTTTGGGGATCTCTACAAGTTCAAGAAGAGATTGGGCATGCTTATGAAGAGAACCCTCAACAGGGAGGAGATCAAGACGATCATCGAGCAGATCCTTCAAGCCCTGGCCTACATGCACGAGCATGGCATCGTTCATCAGGATATCAAGACCGCCAACGTCCTGATCAACAAGGAGGGCACCAAGGTGAAGCTGTGCGACTTTGATCACGCGAGAAGGGTCACGACGCCCCCAAGAGACCCAGAAACGATTGGAACGCTGGCCTACAACGCGCCGGAGATCATCCTGGGCGACACCCAAGAGCTGGGAAGTGGCGTGGACGTGTGGGGCGCTGGAGTGATCCTCGCGGAGCTGGTTCTAGGGTACAACCCTTTCAGCGTTGTACGCGAGAGCCACGCCGCCAGAGAGCTTTACAGGGTGGTGGAGGAGATCAAGGAGAGGCTCCACAGGGAGATTGGCGACGAAGATATTCTTGAGCTGCTGGACAACATGCTGGTTTGGGAGCCGGAGGAGAGATGGAGTGCCGAGAGAGCTCTTTCTTCCAGTTTCTTTGAGGATGGGACTCGCCAAATGTGTGGAGATCCATACCAGCAATTGACTTGTAAAATGGCCACACAATGCGTCATATAAAAAGTTTCATAACAAAAATCATAAGCTATAATTATATCCGAAAGACCTTTAATAACGAATAAAATAGTTTACGTGCAAACAAGCCTTATTGTTAAAGTTAAAGATCGACGGCGGCGGAGTTCACTGTTGTTGGAATGGAGATTCTTGGAGCATATCCACCATCTTTCGTTCTTATTAGTGTGTCACTTTGCAGCTCCCACCCATTCCATCCAAAAAAAATGCAGGTCTCTTTCCGGAAGCTCTTCAAGTATGCCGATGGCCTCGATTGCTTGCTCATGGCAACCGGAAGCTTGGCAGCCATCGCGCACGGCCTCGTTCTTCCGATCAACATGTACTACTTTGGCCGGATCGTCAATGCTCTCGCCACAAATCAGAGTGACAGGGATGCGGCGGGATCGGCTGTGTTGAAAGTAAGCACGAAAAGCAAAGCTCGGTGTTCTTCCGGGGAACTTTGAAAAGTAATGCTTAATTACCTGGCAGTTCGCGATCGCTATGTTTATCGTGGCGCTCAATTCTGGATGGGTCACTTGGCTAGGTGAGAGCTGACTGATTTCTCCTTGCTCCTTCTCTCTTGATCTTGTTGGCCCGAGCAGAAGTTTGGTGTTGGCTGTACACGGGGGAGCGACAGTCGAGCCGGATCCGAGTGAGATACCTGGAGTCACTGCTGCACCAAGAGGTTGCGTTCTTCGATACTGAAGCAAACACGGGAAGCATCGTTAATCACATAGCCAGTGATATACTTCTAGTTCAAGATGCGATGGGCGAGAAGGTACCTCAAGTTGTAGACAGACTCGCAGAATAAACGTGATGATGAAAACAGGTTGGTGGATTCATACACAACATGGCGACTTTCATCGGCGGAGTCGTAGTGGCGCTTTTCAATGGCTGGCAAATAGCACTCCTGGCGATTGCTACGGTACCACTGCTTGCCGGAACTGGGGCCGTGTACACCCGGTTGTACACCGCAATGTTTACACGGAGCCAGGCGTCGCATGCTCAAGCAAGCTCCATTGCCGAGCAGGTAAAAGGATTCGTCTCGCCGTGGTTCTTCTCACCGTTACATTGTTTCCTGCTAGACAGACAATATCACAGATCAGAACGGTCTACTCTTTCGTTCAAGAGTCTCGTGCTCTCACCTCCTTCTCTGATGCGCTGCAAGCCGCTAGGAAAGTCGGGGAAAGAGGCGGGTTGATCCGAGGGATGGGACTTGGACTTACGCTTGGAATTGTCAACTGTTCTTGGGCATTGGAGCTCTGGTGCGGTAGCATTCTCGTCTCCAAAGGACACATCGACGGAGGGAAGATTCTGACTGCGGTGTTTTGCATCGTCTTTGGTGGCATGTAAGCTGCAAGCACATCAGTCAGAGCAGATCATGAAGAACTTACGTTAAATTTTTACGTACCAGGGCCCTTGGACAGACAACTCCAGAGTTGCAGGTGTTCTCGAGAGGCAGAGTAGCAGCTTACAACATCTTCAATATCATCGACCGTGCGTCAAAGATCGACAGCAGAAATATTGAAGGCGAGGTCCCTGAAAATCTGGATGGATATATCGAGTTCGATGATATCCACTTCCGCTATCCAGCACGCCCGGACGTTACAATATTTCAAGGCTTGTCCCTTGAAGTACCCGCTGGAAGTTCTGTGGCGTTGGTCGGTGAAAGCGGCTCAGGGAAGAGCACAGTAATCTCTCTTCTTCAGCGATTCTACAATCCAATTTCAGGTACTTTCTTAAATCACCTCTTGAAGCTCTCTGAGAAAAAACGAAAAACACAAAATATCAGGAGAAATACGACTAGATGGAAGGAATATAGCGCACCTACAACTCAAATGGTTGAGAAAGAACATTGGCGTGGTAGCACAAGAACCCGTCCTGTTTGCCACCAGCATAAAAGAAAACATCAGACTTGGAAAGATAGATGCAACTGATGAAGAAATTGAAGCTGCTGCTACAGCATCAAATGCAATCGGATTTATCATGCAGCTGCCTGAACGTTTTGAGACTCAGGTAAGAGAGAAGCTAAATACCTGTTGATGTTCTGAAGAATCGTCGGCGGGAAACTAGGTTGGATATAGTACTGCGCAGCTCTCTGGCGGTCAAAAGCAACGAATTGCATTAGCGAGGATGATCGTTAAGAATCCTACCATTTTGCTGCTCGACGAAGCAACAAGTGCACTGGATATCGAATCGGAGCATAAGGTGAAGGACGCTCTTGACGCTGTCATGGTGAATCGCACGGCGATAACTGTTGCACACCGACTGTCCACGATTCAGAACGCCAAGAAAATTGCAGTTTTCTCAAAAGGCAAGGTGATTGAGCTTGGAACTCACGAGCAGCTTCTTGAAAAGGAAGGAGCATATGCTACACTGGTGCGTCTACAAGAAAGGAACAAGGACAACCATGAACAGTGAGTAATCACGAAAGTTTGTGATCTGAAAATTCAGCTGCTTACTTGTGGTGACCAGGCCAGAGACGTATTTTCAACCTTCGAGCTTGTCTCCCTACAGACCTTCTCTAGACCGCACAGGCAACTCCCCGCTTCTTTCACAGGAACCAAAAAAGCAACAGTCCGAAATTGAGCTGCGTCGCTGGAGTTCGCTGTGGCAACTTTGTAAGTTGGCGGGGAGAAACTGGCTTGAGTTATCAACGGGCAGTGTAGCAGCTCTGGTTACAGGCTGCATCAATCCGCTATTCGCTCTTTTCCTCATCGAGGTAGTCCAACTTTACTACCAGCCCGGGTCCATGCACAAAGTGAACAGATGGTGCGCAATTATCACTGCGCTGGGAGCTACTGCCATCTGCACGAACATTTTTCAGCATTATTTATATGCTAAGGCAGCGGAAAGCATCAGTCAAAAACTCGAAGAACATGCTTTTACAGGTAGGAGCAACACGCCACAAACATCGCTCACTCTCGACTTGTTGACAGCCATTTTGGAGAACGAAATAGAGTGGTTTGACAAGGAAGAAAATACAAGCAATGCACTCACGGCTCAACTTTCCTCGAATGCATCAAGCGTCCGAACAGCAATGAGTGACAGGGTGTGCTTGCTACTTCAATACACCACATCAATCTGCTTGGCTATGGCACTCGGGTTCAGAATAAAATGGGAAATGGCAATAATAACCATTGCTACGTTTCCGTTTTCAATGGTCGGCGGGTCAATGAAGGTATGCATGCTTTTCATCCCAGTGCACAATAGACATAACCACTCTTGCAGCAAGGATTCCTGCAAAAAGGCTTCGCAGGAGACCTGGAAAAGCTACATGCAAAAGCAAGCAACGTCGCTGGCGAAGCAGTCAGCAACATAAGAACTCTAGCATCATTCTGCGCTGAAGCCAAGATCCTCGGTGTGTTCAAGGACCAGTTGAGTCAGCCCCTCAAGCAGAGCTTCATGCGTGCTCAGAAAGGTGGCATCCTCTTCGGACTCTCGCAATGTGGACTCCACCTTGCAAATGCAACCGGACTCTGGTACGTCTCGCTGCTAGTCAAAAAAGGACGCAGCAACTATGCGGACGCTCTCAAGGTCTTTCAGATACTGGCATGGACAGGCTACGTTCTCGCAGAGGCTCTCAATCTCTTCCCAGACATCACCAAGGCACTTCACTCAGTCGCTTGCTTACAGAAAATCACCAGAAGAAAGACACAAATGAGACCAGATGAACCACACAGCAGGAAGCCAGACGACATACTCGGAGAAGTCGAGTTCATCGAAGTCGACTTTAGCTATCCCAGCAGACCACTGGTACCAGTACTCTCAAAGTTTAATCTTCACATGAGAGCCGGAATGACTGTCGCGCTGGTAGGCTCGAGCGGATCAGGCAAGAGCTCAGTCATCCAGCTAGTGATGAGATTCTACGACCCAACCGCTGGACGCGTGCTTCTAGACGGCCACAACCTCAGGAACTACAACTTACGATGGCTCAGGAAGCACATAAGCCTCGTCAACCAGGAACCATCTCTCTTCTCGACAAGCATACGATCAAACATCACATACGGGAAAGACAATGCAACGGAAGAAGAGACAATCGCAGCAGCCAGGATCGCAAATGCTCACGGGTTTATCAGCAGCTTACCTCAAGGCTACGAAACGAGCGTTGGAGAGCGCGGCGTCCAGCTCTCGGGAGGGCAAAAGCAGAGAATCGCCATCGCCAGGGCCGTGATCAAGGATCCAGCAATTCTTATGCTGGACGAGGCGACGAGCGCGCTGGACTCGGAATCTGAGAGAGCCGTGCAGCAAGCTTTAGACGAGATCCTGGAGAGGAGGAATCGCACAACCCTAGTGATCGCTCACCGATTGTCCACCGTGCGGCATGCGCACGCCATCGCCGTGCTCCAGCAGGGCCGAATCGTGGAGCTGGGCAGCCACGACCACCTCATGGCGGATCCGCGCGGCGCCTACGCCCGGATGATCCAAGAGGGCTAAAGACAATGAAAATGGCGGGAAATCAAGGGAGCATTTAAACACAGCCGTTGGATCTGGGGATGGAATATACCGTTCTTCGGCCAAGTTTCCTTCGTATTTCTAAGACATCAGGGCTTCTTCTAGTAGCCTTTGTTTCCTTGAATGCGAGTTCTCATGTCCACCTGGTAGCAAAGACAAATTCCTCCATTGTGACGATCGATTGCGCAAAATCTCGCAAATTCACCTGGCCGCGCTTGCATTTGGCGTAAGTTTCTCGCAAACCCACACAGGCAGGAGCGATCTTGGGAGGATGCTCCCCGGCGCAATCCCGCAACGATCGCTTCTCCTCCTAGAGCGATCAATCAATCAATCATTCACTGCGAATCGGCCCATAGAACCCTAACCTGGTAGCACACAGACTCGCCCAAGCACTTGACGAGCTCCCTGGCGAGCCCTTTGCACGACTTGGCCATCGCGCATAAACCCTAGCTGCTACGTGTCACGACTGTGGCCGCATATCGTCGCGGCTAGGATTGCAAGTAACAAATCCCTCCACGTTTTTTTTATTTTTTACCTCTACCTAGGCTCTTTTGCGCGTGTGTTCTTGCGGGGATGATCTTGGCGTTCGCTTTGCTGTTAGGTCTTCGCGGATGATCGCGGCGAGGTAGAATTTTGGCGAGGAGCTAGGCGCCGCGCTCCAATTCCAACGGGAAGATCGTCGCCCGAGCTGGAGGATTTGATGTTGGAGCGGCTGATTGCTGCTGGTACCTGGTAGGGCATGGGTTGTGTGATCTCGTCGAGGAAAGGTGCGTCTCGAGCTTGGCATGGAAATTTTCGCTGATTTCCTGGTTCCAATCAGGGCATGACAAGAAATTGAAGAAACCTAAGCCGTGGAAGCATCCGGAGGCCATCACCAGAGGCCAGCTCAAGAAAATGCGCGAAGAATTCTGGGACACTGCACCACATTATGGTGGCCAGCGAGGTAACTCTTTCTCCTCTCGGATGTTTGCTCTTCTTTTCCATCGTCTTCTAGATTTGTCCTCGAAGTTTTTCTGGATCCTTGTTTCGTAGCAGAGGATCAAGTAAAACTTTCCTCTAGAGCTTAGCTGGTTCTTTCTTTTTTTCTCTCGCTCTCACTCACCTTGTCAATTGTGTGGAAACTTTCAGAGATCTGGGACGCTCTCAAGGCTGCTGCCGAGGCAGATCTGAGCTTGGCACAGACGATTGTGGACAGCGCTGGGATCATCGTCACCACGGACGATCTATCAACGTGCTACGACGAACGAGGTTCTAAAGTTTTTCCACTCGCTTCCTTCCAGGACAACTTAACGTTCTTTGTTTTTTCTTTTCTCATCCAAACCAGGTGCCAAGTATGATCTTCCAAAGATTGTTCTCAGCGAGCCTCTCAACATGGTCAAGGACGATTAAATCGATCAAGGATTGATTGAGCGGAAGAAAGAACAAAGCAAAACCACCGTGTAGAGTGAGTGAGTGAGAGTGAGTGCGTGAGTGTCCAGTCGAGCGGAGTGGAAAGAAAGCTCCATACCAGCAACGATGGAGCCCAGATGGAGCACCAATTTATTCTAAAGACGAAAGCAAATTCGCCTATCTTAAGGGCTCCAGCTTTAGGGCTCAAATAGTAGGGTTTCTTCGAGAAAAAAACACACGAAAATGAGAGGAGCATGGGAATGTGGCCGGATCGATTCGGCGACGCCCGACGCACGGCGTCGCGCGGCGGTACTCGAGGTATGATGCCAGATCTCTCCTCTCCTCCCTCCTAGGAATCGGCCCTAGGGTTTGCTGCCAGCGGAGGAGCCCTAATCCCGGGCTTGAGAGAATCTTCCATCTCTCTCGACAAATCGACATGAAGCCCGATTAGAATGATGGGACGGGGTGCCGAGGGTGGTGTTTCCAGCAGCTTGTCTCATAGGAGCGATCAAACTGGGCCAAAGTTATCGCAGGGTCGGGGCATGGATATTTACTCACAGGCAGTCAAAGCTCTAGCGGTGAAGTCACCTTTTGCTGGTGACGAAGCTGGAAATGCTGGCGGTGCTGGAGCTGGTTTCAGTGGTCCGCTGGTAAAGCTTCCAAACGCCGGTGATCCAAAGCGGAAGAATCGAGCTCGGAAGACGCAGGCCGTGAGTAAGAAGCGAGAGTTTGGTGATCTCGACGATGGGAATCCTCGGATGTTCTGGGTCCAGATGGAGGATTACTTCCGAGAGGTGATTGCCGAGGATGTGAAGCTGCTCTTCCCTCGGACGAGCTTCGGGGTTATAGATTCGTCGCTAGCACAGGACTCTTGCTTCAACGTCCGGCCTCGCGGACGTAGGTACTTGGATATATGGGCCGAGGAGGATAGGAAGTTTAAGGTCGAGGGGAGCTCCGAGGAGAATAAGTCGGCTAGAGGTATCAAGCGCAAGCTTCTTACTGCCAGCCCCGTGAGCAAGAGAAGAAAGGCAGCTCTCGTGACTCCGGACACCATAACGACGGTCATCTCGCCGGTTGATATCGAGGAGGAGGATCAGTGCCATGTTTGCAGCAGCGGGGACAGTGACGCATGGAATCAGATTATTTTCTGCGAGTCGTGCAACGTCGCCGTCCACCAGGAATGCTATGGTGTTCAAAGCATTCCCGACGGCCAGTGGCTGTGCTCGTGGTGTGCCTATCGTCAGAGAGGTGGTGGTGCTGTGGAAGCTGATGACCAAGGCACTTTCAGCTGTGTTCTTTGCCCTTGCAAACGAGGTGCACTGAAGCCAGTAGCTGTGGAGGCCGACTCTTCTTCCAAGCAGACACGCTTTGCGCATCTCTTTTGCACGCAGTGGGTGCCCGAGACTTTCCTTCAGGACACGGTGGCCATGGAGCCGGTGAAAAATGTGGAAGGGGTTAGGGAGGAAAGGTGGCGGCTGGTTTGCATTGTGTGCAAGGAAAGGCACGGTGCCTGCATTCAGTGTAGCCACGGTAAGCGACATACGTTCTTCTCTCTCGTCGTCATTGAGTGTTATTTTGTGTTTCCAACAGGTTTGTGTGCAACGGCATTTCACCCTCTGTGTGCAAGGGATGCAAAGCTCTTGATGGAAGTTTCAAGTCGAGAAGATACCGACGAGGTAAGATTGCAATTTCTTGTTCTTTTATTTCTATTAACATGCGATGTATAAGCAGGTCGATTTACGTGCCTATTGTCCCAAGCACTCGGCGATTCGAGTTGCAAAGCCAGTAGAGCCAGTAGCCTTGAAGGAAGGGTCTTCAGATGACAAAATTGTAAATGCTGTTGTCACTGGAAATACAGGAAAAGCTGGACAGAATAATCAAGCAGTTGACGCTGTTTTGAAAGGCAATGCTAGTGTAGAAGCTACCCAATCGCCAAGTAACGAAAGAAGTCCATCCAATCAGCCAGTTCAAGAGGAGCTGATTGCCAACGTAAAAAAGGTATGTTTCCATTTTTTTTTCTTTTAGATGTGACCATCAGTAATGCCTCGAGCAGGTGACACAAACTATCGGTATTTCGATGGAAACCGTTGCCTCCGAAGTTGACGTTCCCCAGTCCACGCTGCTACTGTGGCTAGAGGTATTACACTAGCTTTCACGAACACATTTCTTACGTGGTTTTATTGGCTTAGGGGAAGCTACATGAAGACGAAAGTAAAATAAACACCAGTATTTCTGCGTGGCTGTGCACTTATTCTTCACTTCTAAAGTGCAGTGTAAGTGGGAGTGACAGCGGACAATCTGTTTCCAAACTGAAGAGAAATGGCTACAGCGATGAATTAAGTCCGAGTCACGGCAACTCCCCTGAAAATACAGCAACGTTTTCAACTGGTCCTGTGAAAATAAACTGCCAGCTACTTCAAGTTGAGGAAGACTTTGGTTCGTTCGGCGACGAAGCGGTAAGATCGTTTAGTTCCATTTGAATTTGATGAATGATCTTTCTATACGTCAATGCAGGACGACAGACCATCTGTGGCTGAAAGTTTGCAAGGAGACGAGATCCAAAAGCCAATGATGACAGTTATGCAAAACCAGAGTCGGCTCTTTGACAATGAGGTGTCAAATGGGATTTTTGACAGTGATAGCCCTGGGTTGGAAGCTTCTAGTCCGCAAGATCATGAAGACTCAATCGAGTGAGTGTTTGGAGCTTCTGTATAGTAATTTATACTGATATTGTTGCTTCTCCAGCGCCGGGGGAACGGATCAGCAATTGTACGTAATTCCTGGGGTCATGAAAAGGCTGTTGCACATGGAACCGAACTTATCAAATTCCCAGACACTAGACTGCTCATTTTCTGGTCAGGAGGAACTTGAGTGCAGTACCTCGGACAGAAATAGTCTGGATGAGCAGTGGCAGCAGTTGCGTAAAGCCAAGCATCTCGGTGTACTGGATTGGTGTCCACAGGACGAGGTGGAAGCAGAAATATTCCTTCTGCAAAACCAGCTGATCGATCGAGCACAATCAAATCGTGTCATGTCAGGTATGTCACATTGAGCATAAGCTGAAATTTTCTCAACGCTTCTTTCTCTTGTTCTTTTACAGAGCGGTTGATTTCTAGAATACTGTGCCAGCTATCCAAGGAGCGGCAAGCTGCGAGAAAACAACTGCAAGATCTGCTTTTTGTCAGTCAGTTTCTAGCTGATGTCAAGGAAGCTCGAAAACAAGGCAGGAAAGAGAAAAAAGATAGAGAAGCTCAGGCCGTATTGGCTGCTGCTACTGCTGCTGCTGCTGCATCGCCGAGGACAGGATATGTGAAACGGGATCTCGCGACGCACGATGACCCGTACTATCCTACTCAAGACGCGACGGCAGAGTATAAGCTCAACCATGGCAACCCGCATTCTCCCTATGTGCGTCCGTTCAAGCCGCCTGTACCGAAGCCACCGAGGCTCAACGTTTCGTCGTCCTTTAGAGTGCAACCCGCTTTCTACAGGCATGAGGACCAGTACGCGTGCGACGTGTGCAGTAGCAACGAATCTCTACGGCTGAATAGGATCGTCCACTGCCACCGGTGCAACGTAAGCGTTTTCTCTTTTTGTTTTTCTCTGCAAACATATGTGGCAACTATGGTGTGTGTGCAGGTTGCAGTCCATCAAGATTGCTATGGTATTCACCCTTTTCCTACAGCTCCTTGGTATTGTCAGCCTTGTACCGAGCTCCAGTACCAGCCAGTGAAGCTAATGGAAGATGGCGATCGGATAGCACCGGGTGTTCAATGCGCTCTATGTCCTATTGCGTATGGTGCATTCAAGAAATCATCGGATGGACGTTGGGTGCATGTTTTTTGCGCTCTGGTAATGTCTCAACTTTCGTCTTCTGAGCATCGCTGTAATTGTGTTCCTTTCAGTGGGTGCCGAAGACAACTTTCGGACGAGAGCAATCGTGTCCAATTGGAGGACTGGTGAGTTTAATCTTCACTTTCCGGCTTTAGAGGGATCTAAAGCAGAATGTTTTTCAGGAGGCGGTCCCGAGTGAGCGGCTTAACTTAACGTGCACCATCTGCCAGCAACAACAAGGAGCATGTATCAAGGTTTGGAGTCTTTTTAACTCGAATTTCGTTACGGACCTTTATGTTTTTTTACTCCCAGTGCAACTTCGGTCACTGCTCCGGTGCTTTCCATCCTATGTGTGCACGAGACTCTGGGCTTTATATCAGTGCGCGAAATATCAATGGCAGAGCTCATTACCGAGCATTTTGTGAGCGTCACAGTCCTCAACAGAGAGCAAAGGTTTGCTTAGTCCACCTTTTTCAAACATATTTCACGCGCACTAATTGGTCAAAACTCTGTTCAGTCAGCTGATTTCGTCTCTCAGGCGGAGCTGAAGCAGTATGGTTCTCCGGACGAGATAAATGCACTGCGGCAGATTCGGGTATAAAAGCTTCTCCTGTTCTTCTCTCCCTTTTGCTGAAGGTGTTTCATAGGTTGAGTTTGAGCGTGTTCGGCTTATTTGCGAGCGCATCTGCAAGAGAGAGCGGATCAAGGTAGACCACTTCCACGGTTGTTTCTTTTGATGCATTCTAAGCCTCGTGTTCTTTCCAGCGGGAGCTGACACATTGTATTAAAGATTTGTACATTAATCAGCTTGTAGCTGTCGTGGGAGGGCACTCGGTGGATCAAGCTGTGAATCATCAAAAACCAGGTGAAGGAAACGGGCCACTGTACAGCGATAGCCTTTTGGACGTGCCTTGGACTGCCGAGTCGAGGCTGACGGAACCTATCTGGCCGGCCGGAAGAAATAACAACACCAAAGAGTTGACATGGTCGACGACGAAAGCAGACGCAAACACTGGAATCCGGGATCAGAAGAAGCTCAGAAGATTCAACCGGGTAGCGTCTCTGTCTTGTCCTCTTTTGTGGTTCGTGACTGATTCTCACCTTTGATTGTGCAGCACTCGGAGCCTTTGGGTCGAGAGAAGATAATGACCCCCACTGAGGCCTCGATGCACAACAGGCTTTTGCCGAAAGGATTCGCTTACGTTCCCGTGGATGTGCTCGAGAAAGGGGTGATGAAGCGGCAACAGGAACAAGCTACAGTGCAACCGCAGCAGCAGGAAAGCGATCAACAGCAGCAAAATCATCAACACCAAGATCATGGTCAAGACGAGCATAAATTGGAAGGA